GACCCCCCCCCCCCCAAAAAAAAGGCAACAAACAAGAAATAAAGGAATGAGCCTCAGCTGGGTTTGACTAGCTTCACCCCAAATACACTAAGGCTTACTTTCCTGGCTGTTATGGATATCAGAGTTGTCTGACTCAGGGGCCAGCTGGCTCCTTCCTCCCAGTCTGGCTCAATTCTTGGTCAGAGTTGAGGAAGCCTGTAACTTGGGGTAGTTTTCAACTCCAGCCTGATCCTGTATTTGTTTGCAGGCCATTTACTGCCTTGTAACCTTGGTCTTCTTCTACTCATCTGCCTCATTTTGGGCCTGGGTAAGTGTCACCATCCTGCAAAGTGATGAGTGTACAGGGTCAGTGGCTAGACTTTGATACCCTCATTCTTGTTCTGCAGATGGCCCTGGCCTTTAGTTTGGCAGTATATGGGGCCAGTTACCACTCTATGAGTTCGATGGCTCGGGCAGCCTTCTCTGAGGATGGGTCCTTGATAGATGGTGGCATGGACCTCAACATGGAGCAGGGCATGGCAGAGTGAGTGTCCCCCATCGCCAGCCCAGGTGAGCGGCCCCAGGGCTGGGGCGCTGGGGCCCAGACAGCCCAAGACCCACAACTACTTACAACTTCAACAGAGTAGAAGGGGTAGAACTGGGACCCGCCTACTGTCTTTGGCAGCCTCCCTTCTATCCACAGGCACCTTAAAGATGTGATCCTACTGACAGCCATCGTTCAAGTGCTCAGCTGCTTCTCTCTCTACATTTGGTCCTTCTGGCTTCTGGTGCGTGAGCTGGGGTGTGGGGGCAAGGGCATTTAATCCTGTTCCTCATTCTTTGTACCTGGCTTAAGTTACCTTTTCTCTCCTAGGCTCCAGGCCGGGCCCTTTACCTCCTGTGGGTGAATGTACTGGGCCCCTGGTTCACAGCAGAGAGTGGAGCCCCAGCACCAGAACACAATGAGAAACGGCAGCGCCGACAAGAGAGGCGGCAAATGAAGCGGTTATAGCCTTCATTATTGTGGCCACAAGCTGCTGGGCTTTGGTTGGCTCTATTAGGCTGCATGGTCCCATGCCTGGAGCAGTGAGTGTCTAGTTGAAGGGCCAAAAGCAGCCTGAGGTATAGGATTACTGAATAAATTGTTCAGAATGTGGTTAACGGCTGTGTGGATAATAATATACAAGGCAGGAAGAATTGGTCCTATGATTTCCTGGCTCAGCTAGGCAGGGACTGTGAAAGAGGAAAGAGGCTCTTGGATTAGCTAGGAAAACTTTATTTTGTTCCAAGTTAAGGAGCTCACACATGCATACATGTATATTGTATACACACGTACACATCTAATACTGCTCAAGATACTGATTCCTGGGCACAGGCTTCTGGAACCAGATTTCTGCTTCAGGCCCTTCTTGCTTTATAGTCTCTTGCATTATATGCTGGGATCTAGAGGGGTTACCTGCAGGTAACCCCCTCACACCTCCAGGCCAGGAGCTTTGCTTAGTCCCAGTGCCTGCACCAGGTCATCTCCGAGCCCACTCTTCAATGTCCGTCTCACTGCAGGGACAGACCAGAGTTAGAGGGTTCATGGGGATAAGGTAGGCAAGCAGTGGGCTTGTTAGGGGGACACTCACAGGACTTGCGGTTACCACGAGAGCGCTTCCTTTCCCGAGTAGCTAAGGCTCGAGGACTGCTCTTGGTAACTGACTGCACCAGCAGGTCCATTATCTCATCTGATGTGTCACTGGGTAAACTGGAGCCTGAGGTCTCCTCAGGGGGTACAACAGAAGGCCCCACTGCTGTGTGTGTGACAGGGGAGCTGCTTTGGACCATGCCTAAGGGAGACCAGAGAGGAGTTAGGCTGAGGAATCCTTAGAACCCATTCCCCTAGTGGCTTCCAAGTTGTACCTCTGCTACGCCGATTGCGTGTAGTGTCCTCTGGCTTGATGGTAAGCAGATTCTTCATACTGGCATGACTGTCAGCATCACCCCGGCCTGGCCCACTGCTCACAGCCACTGGAACACACAGGTTACTGGGGGCCTCTCCAGCCACGCCTGAGAACTTCTCTGTCTAGAGAGGGTAGAGGATGGGTTGGGAACCAGGGAAAGGGACCACTGGGTGGCAGTCAAGACCTGGAAGGGCATTCACCTCAGTGATCATGCGTCCCCGGGTCTTGTTGCGCTCACGGTATGTAGCCCGCTTCTGCTGCTGCTGTAGTACTCGTTCCCGGCAAGTCCGATACTCAAGCGCGAACTCTCGCATTGTGTGGCAGAACTGCATGATGCGCACTTCTTGGGCTGCCTGTGCAGTGTAGCCCAGGTAGAGCAGGAAGGCGTGGAACCTAGGTTGGAGAACGAGGGACAGTACAATGAGTCCTATTCAGTGTTTAAGGGACAGTGGTGGCAGTCCTACCTCTCCCTGGCTCATGGCACTACCTGTTGCAGACTCGACGGTGCACTACCCTTAGCATGGCAACACGGCGAGTACACTGGGCCAGGAAGTGGGTGAGGCGGGCACGCAGAGCTGGGGCCAGTTCATGCTTTGCCAAGCTCCTCAGGCTGTCCTCAGCTGCCTGGCTCCGGCACTCCAGCTGCCCTAGGTTCTCAGTCAGCTGCTCAAAATCCACCTGAAAAACAAGAGGGTACATGGTTTGCCCTATAATTCACTGCCTAAAGCCCAAGTGTTACAGTTTTACACCCCTAGTGCCTGTTATGTAAGCTTTTTGGGTTTGTTTGTTTTTTTTTGTCTTTTGGAGACAGGGTCTCCCTACAGCCTCAGCTGGCCTGGAACTAGCTATGTAGTCCAGGCTGGCCTTGAACTCACAGAGCTCTGCCTGCCTCTGCCTCCTAAGTGCTGGGATTAAAGGCCTGTGCCACCATGCCCGACTGGTATGTAAGCTTTTTTGTCTTTTTGAGACAGGGTCTCCTTGTAGCCCCAGCTGCCTGGAACTCACTATGTAGACCAGGCTGGCCTTGAACTCACAGAGATCCACCTGCCTCTGCCTCCCAAGTGCTGGGACTATAGGCGTGCACCACCACGCCCAGCTTTTTTTTTTTAAATACTTTATTATTTTTATTTTGTGTGTATGCGTGTATTGCCTGCGTGTATCTAAGTTCATCCATGTCATGCAATGCCTGCGGAGGACAGAGGAGGCTGTCAGATCCCCTGGAACTGGAATTATGGACAGTTGTTAGCTGCCATGTGGGTGCTGGGATTCAAACCTGGGTCTTCTGCACAGCCAGTGTTCTTAACCACTGAGCCATCTCTCCAGTCCCAGCATGTAAGCTTTTAAAGAGGCCAAATCTCAGCTGTGTACCTGTGGTCCAAGCTGGACAGCTTGGACTATAGTTTGTTCAAGGTCAGCTTAGGCAACTTAGTGAGATCCTGTCTTAGAAAGTAAAGAGGGCTAGGGATGTAGCTCAGTGGTAGAGTTCTTGTACTTGCATTGCATAAGACTCTGGTTCACTCCCCTTTGTTACCAAAAAAGAAAGAAAAAGGCAAGAGACAGACCAGTCCAGTTGCTCCAAGTAGGAAGACAAGGCTTCTTGGAGGAAGTGGCAGCTAAACAGACCCAAAGACTGAGTGGGTGTAGTTAGGCCATTAGAAGAAAGTCTTTCTGGCAGAGGAGACAGCCATATACCTACAGCCTCAGCAATCTCTGGCACAACAGCCCAAGTGGAAGAGGGAGGGGAGGAGGATCCAGCCCCAAGAAGCAGTGCTCCACTGTACCTCAGGCAGTCTAAGTAGAATCTGTCCAGTGCTAACCTTGGCACAGCGGGTCAGGGCAGGGATTTCTGAGTAGAGGTCAGAGGAATCAGGCCGAGTCTGGAGCACCAAGGAGCAGAGATGGTACAGCAGTGATTGCCGGCGCACTGTGTCTTTCACTTCTGACACCTTTTCCAGGTAGCTCAGCTCAAAGCCACTGCTCTGAAAGGACCCAATCTGAGCCTGGGCCTGGGCATCTCCAGAGCCCTGACCTCCAGTCCCCAAATGTTCTCACTCACCTGGGAACCATTGAGGAAGTTGCCCACAGCCAACAGGGTCGCCAGAATACAGCGGAAGGTAGCATTGTGCACCAGCTGTTCCATGCCCATTTTCAGGTCAAACAGTGGCTCTGCAATTTCCTGGTATAGGAGATGATGGCCTCTGACTAGATGGTCATTATTCACCTGTCTCTACTGCCTGTCCCACTCTGTGACCCACATACCCGCTCCATGCTGTCATAGTCCAGCTTGAAAGCCCAGAGTTGTAGGCGTGCAGCCAGGCCTCCAATACTGGCAAGAGTCATCAGGAAATTCTCAGCAGGGCCAAGGGGTACATCAGGATTGGCTAGGTGGGCTTCCTCAATCTTCTGCCGCTCTTCCTCCGTTGGCATCATGGTTAGCAGTTTCTGAAGATGCAGCCATCATCCCAGAGAGGCCCCTCAGTACCGGCCTGAGGTCCTGAGACATTGTCTTTTACCATTCCCTTGGCCTGCTAGGGGATCCCCAGGGTTTAGGGACTGTCCTGCAAAAATGCCAGGCCTAGCCAGGCATGGTGGCACATGCCTTTAGTCATAGCACTTGGGAGGCAGAGGCAGGCAGATCTCTGTGAGTTCCAGGCCAGCTGGGGCTACAGGGAGACCCTGTCTCAAAAATACCAAAAAACAAAACAAAACAAAAAGCCAGGCCTATGCCTACCACTGGAGGGACTGGAAATGCCTACTGACCAAAGGAAAGGATCAGCCCTTCCATTTCCCTCCTATATCTTTAGGGCCCACCTCAATGCCATCCTTGCTGACAGCGAACTCATCAAAGTTGAGCAGGGCAGCCTTAATGACATGCACAGGAGGCAAAGTGGTTAGGCCAATGTTGATGGCATTGCTGCGCTTGGGGTCCAGCACTGTGGTTATTGTCCGGCGGCCTTCACCAGCTTTCTGTAAGGTTGGGAAGATGGCAGTGTAAGATTGGGGAATAAACTAGTTGGGACAACAACCTAGGAAAACATTCCAAGGTCTTCCTCTCAAAGCTTAGTGACCCCACAAGGGAAGATATAAGGCACAAGGAGTCATCAGATATTCTAATAAGGGCTCTGTTGTTTCCTTGAGAGCCTCAGACAAATACTTCTTTCTTTGCCTATTTTCCCCTGTGGGAAATGAGACTAGCTTCAATAGCTCAGCCCTTTGAACTATAATTCCTCTCTCCTACCACAGATTTACCTTGGAAGGCAGCATGTCCTTGGCCCGAGACTCAAACAGGTGTTCCAGCCGGGCTGTGTCCACTGAAACAGGCTCCAGGGAAGCCCACAGGGTAGGACAAGGCCCAAAACGGCTTCTAGAGTGCCCAGGGCTCTCAGCCAGCTTTAGTTCCCGCCAAAAGAGTTTTACTGTCTTCCTTTTGGTGGGGAGGGCTGAGCCATCAGGCGATGAGTGGGGAATAGGGGCAACTGGAGGTGGAGGTGGAGGTGGTGGGCAGGAGCCTAAGATGGGTGGGGGAGGCGGGGGTGGAGGTGGAGGGCCTCCAGAGAGCAGGGGAGGTGGGGGTAGTGGGATTAGGACCTCTCTTCCAATCTCTACTGACTCTACATTTAACATGTCCTGGTCTTCATCCTCCCCCAGATCTGAGAAGTCCAGGTCCCCAATGCAGAGCTTGGGTACACGAGTAGGAAGCTCTTGGATGGGCTCAGCCTTGGGACTTGGTGCCAGTGCCTCCTTGCAATCTGGCTCAAGACTCCGCTGGGTCCGGAGCAGGATTCGGGGGACAGGGCTCTGGGGTGTTCTGGGTGTAAAGTCTGGCTCTGGGGAGTCCCACAGTTCTCTGGTACCTAGCAAAAAGGAAACAGCTGTCAGGCATATGCTGTCTGTGGGGCAAGAAAGCAACATGGGTAGAGATTCTTCATGACCATCTACTCACCTGTGACTCCATCAATCTCATCCACTGTGGCCATAGCCAGTGCCTCTGCCCGGCCTTGGGCCAGTGCAGCCTGCTTCTCTGTCTCTGCTGCTGCCACATTCTCCAGGAACCGGGCTCTGGGGGAAGGTACTTGTCAGTACTTGTCAGTGTCTAACCCAGGGTGGTACACATGCCTTGCTGAGCGCTTCTGTGCACCCCCCACCCAACTACAAGCATACACAGGCATAGGGAACAGTCCATGCACTGAGCAGGCCTCTACCCACCCCGCCAAGGCCAGGCCTTGTTCAATCTTCCACATTTAGGCAGTTACAACCAACCTAGCATTCTTGGTCAAAGTACAGAGAGAAGTTCTACTTAACATCCAACTAGCTGCTATGCATGTTCATTCTTATTCTAGATAAGGCCCTTAGAGCAGGGAAAGGGTGTAGCTGTCTGAATGGGCACAGCAGGTTTTCCCCTCCCTTGGCATGTCTATCAGCTTTTGAGAGTTATGGCCAATGTCCAGAAAATGACCTGGCAAATAGTATGTACTCAATTTATGTTGAAATTGTTGTCTTCTCTTCATTTTCTTTCTCTTTCCTTTTCTTCCCCCTGACTCTCCTCTCTTTTGAGACAGGGTCTTATGTAGCCCAGGCTGGTCTCAAACTTGCTATGTGGCTGAAGATGACCTCGAACATTCCTGGTCCTCCTTGCTTCCTCCCCCAAGTGCTGAGATTACAAGATGTGTGCCATCATACCTGTCTCTAGCATCTCCTTTCTAGTCCCTCCAGCCTCCGTTGGCTCAGTCCCTGCCCTTCCTTCAGCCTTAGGTTGTTCCATCACCCACACCTCAGCACTATATACCTCTCCATACTCTACTCCCAAGCTGTTTGTCTACATCCCTACCTCTGGTCTAAGCTGCTAAGCTACCACTATCAAAGCACAGGGACCACTATGACTCCAATGACCTGCTTCCCAGAGCTTAAGTCTTTGGGTTACTAAGAAGCCATAAGTCTGGGAGAGGGGGTTGCTGAGAATCCCTCTAGTGGGGCTATATGGAACCTCTGCTGGGGAAGCAATGTTGAAGCCCTGAGCACATGGCAAGCCTGGAAGACTGGCCTCTGTACTTACTCCAGCCTGGCCTGCCCGGTAAGGGACTGGGGGACAGGTGGGCTCTCAGGGGCGCTGGGTAGGGGGATGAGAAGAAAACATGGTAACTCTGGTGCCAGCTCCATTTCAAGGCCCACTTGCTGCACCCATACAGAGCTGGGCAGTAATGTCACAGTTCTTTCCCGTTCACAGTGGGAAGAGGAGGGCTGGGGGTGGCAGGACATGGAGAAACTGGAAGTGGAGGAGACTGGCGTGAAGCTGGACAGAGTATAGTAATAACAAAGAGCAGAAAAGAAGTGACAGAGAAACAGAAAGACAGCGAAGAGGGAAACATGACAAGAGGCCAAGGCAAGTGGAACACTGGAAAGAGAGAAGCCACAGGAGGAGGAGGTCCAATCAGAGCCAAACCTCACCCTCCAGCAGTCACTTACCAAACGGGAGCAGTTTGGTGAAGTCTGAAAAGAAAGAGAAAGCACGCGTTTGGGCAGAGGAGGCTGAGAGCCCATGGAGGGGCACAAAGTGGAGGGATAGTTGGAGACAGGACTAGGGGAGCACTCTATCTCCCTACTTACTTGTAGATGCTTCTCTCACAGGAACTGTCCATTGAGGGCCCCACAGAAATGGTAGGAAAGAGGTTCACTGAGGTATGGAGGCCAAAGGCAGGGCCAGTGGGGCTGGAGGCAGGGCTTGTCAACAGGGTGGGGTCTACTGGTGAAGCAGGGCCTGTAGGGCTAGAAGCAGGGTCTGTCAGCAGACAGGGTCATACCTGGCGGATTCATCCCTCTGCATCTACCCAGGCATGCACTTACCCAGGTTCTGGGGCACGCACAGGACAACCTCCACCTTCCAGTGATCTGCGGCTCCTCTTGCCCTCCTCTGAGGATGGCTTCCGTCGTTCTCGCCGGCCTCCTGCAGCGGCCGCAGCTGCAGCCTCTTCCATATCCCCATCCTCCAACCGCAGGGCGCTCTAGTGGAGGTGCCGAGGACATGAGCAAGCAGTTGAAGGCCAATAGGTGGAATAGGTACTGGGGAACTGCACCTCTCTCTCCTGACTCACCTCATACAGCATAAGCTGTGTTCGAAGGTCAACATCGATGCCAGCAGTGCCCAGGAGGCGCTGGACCAGTGCTTCCATGCCTTGCTGCTCCAGTGCATCTGTCACGTCATAGAAGGAGTCCTGGTCTGGAAGTGCTACCAGTGTCTGGAGAGTGGGGATAGGAAGCAAGGCTGAGGCTGGCTGGTGGGGTCACAGGTCAGGGGCTCAGAGTTGGCACTTGGTCCCAATCCTACACCTTGTTGATGAGGGTGACAGTGTACACCAACAACTCTGGGTCAGCTCCATTCTTCTCTTCCAAGATGGATACCAAATTGGCCCAGGGAGGAGTATCTGCCACATAGAAAGGGGAGCAGTCACAGGGTTGGAAGCAGTAGGATAGAAGGCTCTGAGTTGTAGACAAAAGAGGGATAGGCTCTGACCAGTGGTGCTAGCCACAGAGTTGACTGCCTGGATGAACAGTGGTGCGTTGTTCTCAGAATATTCCACAAACACCAGGAGCAGCTTCAGGGTTGTCTTCACCACCAAACGGGACTGGAGGAAGAGAAGTCACTACATGTAAGTGGGGCTTGGCCACACTGTGTTAGCTCTTACAGGAAGGGGAAGGACACCTGGGGGGCTGGACTAAGAGAGAAGAGTCTAGGTAGACAGACCCTGGTTCTAGGCCCAGGCTTGAAAGTACTTCTAGTTTTCAAGGGGACTCAGGTTTACTCTAATCCAGCCCACTTTGCAGAAGGAAGCAATGGGAAAAGGGTGCATATGTCTGGGTAGAGACTACTTACCAGGCTAGCACACAGCGTATACAGCCACTGCACTGTCTCACTATGGGCTACCACCCCCAGCATCCCATCCACAAAAAGCATCAGCTGGCCCAGTGCTAGAGACATAGGGATGGGAAGATGTCAGTCGGGGGTGGGGGGCCATGGGGACAAAGGTCAAGGGGAAGTGTGGGGCTGACCTCGAAGGATGTAGCTCTGGTAGTTGTGGTCAGCAGCAGCACCCACATGGATTAAGCAACTCAGCCCCTCTGAGTGCACAAATTCAGGCACCAGGTCCTTGTCTTCCTAGAGGTACCATGGGGGAGTTTAGGGGGGTTTAAGCTAGACACACCCTCCACCCACCTCAGGGTCTCACCTGGAATATCTGCTTTAATGAGAAGAGGGATCGGCGGAGCTCAGGGCCACTGGAGCCATACAACTTTTCTGCAAGGGGGGAGTGGGTATGAATTCTCAAGGGAATACAGTGTCCGCTTCCTTTAGGACATAATAACAACAACCTCCTACCAAAGAAGATTCTAGTATTCTCAAACCTCCTTTTCCTTAATTTCCTGACTCTGGGTACCCTCCACTATTGCCATTACTACAATCCAGTTATGACATCAGCCCAGATCCTGGAAGGAGCACTCAGGGCAGGGGACATCAGATTTCCAATCTACTCAAAGCATAGTCCAACAAGGGCCTGAAAGAAATGAGGCTAACTAGGCTATGAGGGGAGAGTGGAACAGGGCAGCAGTGGGTTGCTAGATATCAAAGCCATCACACACTCACCCAAGATAGCATTGACCCTCACAGAGAGCTGGGTCCGCAGGATCAGTGTGGGTTTCCGTCCTTTGCTGGAATTAAGCAGCCACGTCAGCAGATTCCCAGCTGATTCCTCAGGGTACCACCCTCAAAATCAAGACAGCCAAAGACCTCTACATGCCAATGCTGGCCTACTTCTTCCTTCCCAGTTGCCACTCCAAAGGCCCAAGTGTTGGCCAAACAGGAGAGTTTGTGTAAACATAGGTATCTCAGGTATGTGAAAGAGCCCCCACACATCCATCCTGAACTGGGGATTTCCCTAGCATAGTTCCCTTGGGCAGCAGAAGTTTATCTACAGCCCAGGCTACAAATTGACTGCCTTAGCTGCTGATACCTGAGCTGAACCTTGGTGGGGACAAGGGTGGTAGCTTGGGTCAGACCCATGCCAACCCCCGAAGGGAAGAGAGAAGGGCTCCCTGGTCTCCCTCAGCCTGTCAACTCTGACCTGATCTCGTCATAGAAGCCCTCCAGCATCTCCCGCTGTTCTTCCAGGGACAGTTCTGGGTCCAGGTAGTATCCAGAGGGAGACACTTGCAGGGCACAGTCCTCCAGCTGGGAACAAATGAATATTAGGGCTAATATTACAGTTGGATTTTGTTGTTGTTGTTGTTTTGGTTTTATGGTATTAGAGATCAAACCCAGGGCTGTACACATGCTGAACAAGCCTTCCACCATTAAACTACAGCCCCAATTTTTTTAAAAAACTTTTTATTTTGAGCTAAGGAACACAAATGAGGAAGGGGCATGAAGATGGGGGGAAGTTGCCTTCGAGGAAGTTCACAGCCTTGTGAGGTGAAAAGCTGCAATCACAAAGCATTAAAGTTCTGAGAGAAAGTTTTGTAAGTTCAGAGAGGTGTAAACCCAGCTGGCAGTGTTTACCAGAATGGTGAGGAGCAGAGTCTAATCCAGACTCCCAGTCCCTCCAGGTCTCAGAGGCTTTGTCCTTTCCTCAAGGGGGCTAGTCCTAGGTGACACAGGCACTGCCTAGCATGGGTGCACTTATACACAGGCAGGCATAACAATCATACACATAAAATAAAAATAAAGTCAGATATAGTCAGACTCTATAAACAGGAAGGCACAAGCTTCATCGTTTGTTCCTTCCTTCAAGCCTGGCTGGCCATTTGGTCCCTTAAGTACTTATAGCTAGGTGTGGTAGCACACGCCTTTAATTCCAGCACACAGGAGGCAGAGACAGGCAGATCCCTATGAGACCCTGTCAAATAACCACAGGGCTCAAGAGTGGCTCATTGGTTAATAGCACTGACTGCTCTTGCAGAGGACCTGGGTTCAATTCCCAGCACCCACATGGCAGCTAACAACCATCCACAGCTCCAGTTCCTGGGGATCCAACACCCTCGTCCAACCTCCATGGGCACTGTACGACATGGGTACACTTATATACATGCAAGCAATACACCTATGCACATAAAATAAAAGAAACAAAGCAAGGGGCTGGAGAGATGGCTCAGTGGTTAAAAGCACTACTGCTCTTGCAGACCCAGGTTTGATTCCCAGCACCCACATGGCAGCTGCGAACCATCCTTAACTCCAGTTCCAGAGGAATCCGAAGCCCTCTTCTGACCTCTGCAGCATTGTACAACACGGGTGCACTCACATATATGCAGGCAATCTCATACATATAAAATAAAAATAATAATAAAATATTAAAAACAAACCAAAACAAAACAAAACCCAACAGCCCTGCATGGTAGCATACAGCTTTAGTTTCAGCAACACAGTAGGCAGAGGTGGGCAGATTTCTGTGACATCAAGGCCAACTTGGATTCAGATCAGGGGCTAGAGGGAGACCATGTCTCAAACAACAGCAGCAACAAAATTCAAATAATACCCCAAACCCCAAAAAACAAGAACAACAAAAATAAAAAGAAGTGCTTATCGTAAAGCCTGAATGAGGTGACTCCCAAGACTTTGAAGGCACAGTGCCTCTCCCAGACACTCCCGCCATAGCATTGCTGATATACAGAGCTAATCAAAGTCCTCTACTTGGGCAATTGTTCTTGAGGTGCTATGGCATGGGGTGAGAATACTTCTGGGGAGGCAGTAGGGGAGGTCTTCTGATCTCTATCTCACTGGATAAGCCAACTCCATTTGTCCTGCTGTCTGATCAGCCCTGCCCAGCTCTGAACCCCACTCAAGGGTTTCCAGCTGTCCTTGGTCCCAGGGGTGGGGAGTTAGGGATTGGGGAGTCCTACTCCTGCCCTGCTTCTGCCTCTGTCTAGCACCTCTGCTCTTTTTCAGAGCCTGAACTGACTTCTTCCTGGCAGTATGGCATGCGGGGCCCTTGGGTGACCCCCCTCTTCTTGCCTGGGACATGGGACACAGGATAAACACTCCAGACTATTCTCTGTCCCACTTCCTGCCTGGCTGTCTGCCCTCCCCTGGGTGCCTTGGGCGGGCCTGGCCTTTCTCCTCCCAGGGAGCAGAGGCATCTCCTGTGCCTACTGGGAACAGGTTTGTGAGGAGACTGTAAGGCCCCAGGGCTGGGGTATCTTGCCAGGGCCAGCTCAACACATGGCAGCCTCACATTCCTCCTGATCTCTCTTCCTACACAGAGACTCATCAACTTACCTCCAACCTGATTCAGGTCCAGTAACATCTCCCTACATACTGCTTGGACCGGAGGATCTGGGGAAGCTAAACACACCTTCCCCAGGAATTGTCTCCATATCACACATAAAATATTATTGCTCATTTATTTGAACATTCGTGAACCAGCCTGGTTTTAGGTATGGAGGACACAGCAGGAAGCACACACTTTCTTTGCCTTCTTTTCCTTCCAGCCCAGCAGGGAAGACAAGTCAGGCTTGACTAAGAAAAAACTCAGACATTAATGAGGATTCACAACTTCTAGGAGTTCTAAGAGGGACCAACTGCTGTAAACACCCAGTAACATACACACCCAGGTATATGGTCAGGAATAGGCTGCACATAGGCCAAAGTAACACATCCACAGAGGTTAGGCCCACTGTGCAGTCATCCATTCCTGCGTGTACCTTGTTCCCCCCAAGTAAGCAGAGAATGGCCCTCTCTTCAAGATGAGATTTGTGGCATGGGGTAGTACTAAGGCTAAAGTGTTCACCACTCTGGAATCCCCAGCTAAGCAGGCTTAGCCCTACTCCATGGGTGTAGAAGTGGCCTCCCCAACCACTTTGTCTGGTCCTGCCAAGGGTCCATTATGGGGAGAAGATCCGGGGATAGCAGTTGGCCTTGTACCTCTAAGTCAGTTTCCTGTTCCCAGCTTTCTGTTCTGGGTGGAGGTAGGAGGTTGGGGGCTAGGATCAGGCCAACAGCAAAATGGGTAGATTTTCTGCTAGCAGGATGGTACATATTCTTCACACCTCTGGCCCCTTCCTGGGATCCCATTCTGAAAGCCAAACCTCTGGGCCTTGTTTCTCACACCCTGGGACTATGCCAGGCTTCAGCAAGCCCAATCCCTGGTCCCTACTGACACTGCTAGGAACAGCACACAGTATGGGCCTACATTCTCCACCCTGGCTTCTGTCTCTGTCACTTCTGTGGCCTCTTATCTAGCAGAAGCCCCTCTCCCATCCTTCCCAGGCTCTGCTCACTTTGGCCTCTAGCCATGTTTCTTCTCACTCTCCAGGCTCAGGCCCAGACCCACTTGTCACATGTTTGTTCTTTTTTTTTTTTTTTTCCTTTTTCTATGAGACAGGGTCTCCCTGTAGCTGTCCTGGATTCACTATGGAGACCAGGCCTCAAGCTCACAGAGATCTGCCTGCCTCTGCCTCCCAAGTGCTGGGACTAAAGGTGTGTGCCACTACCCCGGCCATTTGTTCATTTTTAATGAATGAATGAACGAATTTATTTTTCACAGTACTGGGAATCAAACCCAGAGCTTTTTCAAGATAGGAAAGAACTCTACCACTGAGCCATACCCCTAGCTTCCTTACATATGGTTTTATTATTATTTTATGATTGAATGATTGATTAATTGATGATTGACTGATTGATTTTTAGGCAGAGTCTCATATGATCCAGCAGGCTGGCCTCAAACTCGCTATATAGCTGAGGGATGTCTTTGAACTCCTGATTCTCCTTCTGGGATTATAGGCACAGGCCATCACTCTGGGCCGACAAGTTTTTGGTCAAATCCACCCCCTCACACACATATGGTTTTATATAGAGAGAGTCAAGCATAGAGAGAGCTATTGTGCCTTCTCCCTATTATTAAATTTTATTATTTATTTATTTATTTATTTATTTATTTATTTATTTATTTATTTATGTGTGTCTGCATGTACATGCAGGTGCTGGTGGAGGCTAGAGGCATCAAATTCCCTGAAGTGTAATATATGGTTGGGAGTCACCCAATGTGGGTACTGGGAACTAAAATTCATTCTGTTGAGCCATCTGTCCATTCCACCCTCATTATTTCTTTTTTTTTTTTTTTTTTTTTTATAATAGTATAACCTGGTGGGGATGAACATGTAGGGCACAGCACAAGGAAGATGGAGAGGGTAGAATTACATACTGAAAGACTCTTAGGAGATCATTGGTCCACTGAATACTGAACCTAGTGCTCTGAAGACCCTTCTTTCCTGTTATCATGGGTCTATAGCTACACTGTGACTTCCTCGATGAGATGACCAAAATGAGTCTCAGGGAAGGAAACCTGCTTTTATTATGCCTCTTCAGTGCCACACAATAGACTACTTAAAAAAAAAAAAAAAAAAAAGCCTCCCAGAACTTGGGAGGCAGAGGCAGGCAGATCTCTGTGAGTTCAAGGCCAGCCTGGTCTACATAGTGAGCTCCAGGACAGCTGGGGCTACAGGGAGACCCTGTCTCAAAAAGACCAAAAAAAATCAATGCCCCCCCCTCCGAAAAAAGTTATGTAGCACTGGTAGGCCTGGAACTTGCTGTATGGCTGAGGCTGACTCCTTATCTTTCTGCTTCCACCTCCCAAGTGCTAGGATTACAGGCTTGTACCACCATGCCTGGCTTAAGATGCCTAGTTTTCTTTTCTCTGTTTTTACCTTCTCTTCCTCTCCCTTCTCATTCCTTTCCAAACAAGGTCTTATAGCATAGTCTAGGCTAGTCTCGGACTCATGGCAAATGTTAGGATTACAGGTATGAACCACCTATCCTCACTTAAGGCTTATTTCATTTATTTATTTATTTATTTATTTATTTACTTAATTTATTTGTTGTCTTTTTGAGACAAGGTCTTCCTGTAGCCCCAGCTAGCCTGGAACTTGCTATATAGACCAGACTGGCCTCAAACTCACAAAGATCCGCCTGCCTCTGCCAGTACTTGCTGGGAATAAGGGCGTGTACCACCATACCTGGCTCATTTAATTTATTTTATTATTATTATTATTTTTTGTCTTCTTGAGACAGGGTCTCCTTGTAGCCCCAGCTGTCCTGGAACTCACTATATAGACCAGGCTGGCCTTGAACTCACAGAGATCCGCCTACCTCTGCCTCCCAAGTGCTGGGACTACAGGTGTGCGCCACCATACCCAGCTATTTTATTTTTTAAGAAAGTAATAAAGCCAAGACTCAGAAATTCAATGAATTATCCAGGTATGGTGGTACACAACTATAATCCAAGCACCCAGGAAGCAAAGGCAAGAGAATCTTCACAAGTTCAAGTCCTGCCTGATCTATAATATGGAGTTCTATGCTATCCAGGGCTACATAGTGAGACCTTGAATCAAAAGCAAAAACGGACCAGAAAGATGGCTCAGTGGTTAAGAGCACATACTACTCTTCCACAAGACTTGAATTCAATTCCCAGTAACCATGTTGGGTGGCTCACAACTGTCTGTAACTCCAGCTTCTGGGCATCTGACGCCTTTGGCTTCTGAGGACACCTGCACTCACATGTACATACCAGGTAGAGATGGCTCAGTAGTTAAGAACACTGGTTGTCCTTGCAGAAGACCTGGGTTCGAATCCCAGCACCCACAAGACATCTAACAACTGTCCATAACTCCAGTTCCAGGGGATCCGACAGCCTCTTCTGTCTTCTGCAGGCATTCAATGACACAGGTGCACTTACTTACAAGCAGGCATAACACTCATACACATAAAATAAAATAAAAATAAATAAAATACAAAAAAATAGATCTTTCTTAAAAAAAATTAAGAGGCTGGAGAGAAGGCTCAGTAGTTAAGAGCACTGGCTGCTCTTGTAGGGGACCTGGGTTCAGTTCCCAGCGCCCACATGGCAGCTAACAACTGTCGGTAACTCCAGTTCTAGGGGATCTGATGCCCTCTTCTTGCCTCCACAGGCACTGTACGTATGTGGTGCACTTAAATATATGCAGGCAAAATACTCATACACATAAAATAAAAATAAATAAAATTGAAAAAATTATAAACAAAACAGCCAGCTGTGGTAGTGCATGCCTTTAATCCCAGCACTCAGGAAGGAGAGGCAGGTGGATCTCTGTGAGTTCCAGATCAGCCTGGTCTACACAGCAAGTTCCAGGACAGAGTGAAATCCTGTCTCAAAACAACAGTAACAGGGAAAAAAAAAAAAAAAAAGGAATTCAGTGAATTCCCACAGGCAAGCACAGCCTGGACTGGAGGGTTAAATGACCCAGGTCTTAGGTGGATGGGTCTTGGTAGTTTCCATAAAACCCTGAAGCAGTGCCTGAGGGCTAGGGCCTACAATTTTGCCGAGTAGAGATTGCTCCTCAGCTTACCAGACACTGCAAATACCCCAAACTGGTCCTCCCAGTTCCAGCAAGGGGATACAAATGAACAAGCACACACACTAGGAAAACAGTGTCTACTTCTGCTAAGACCTAGGTCATAGGGTCCATCACCAGCTGCCACCCACTCTTCTAGCTTAGAAGGACCAGCTAGATGGAACATGAAGACTATAAGGAAGGCTGCCAGAGGCTCCCATAGCAGAAGACTAAAGAGCTCAGTTCATCGACCGAGTACCATACAAGCCTCTGAACCCCCAAAGGGATGGGCACGGTGGCACATGCCTATAATCCTAGCATGCATGAGGCTAACGCAGAAGGAATGAGAGTTTGAAGCCAATCTGTAAAACCACCCTACCTAAAAAAGAAAACCAAAATCCTAGGGAAATAGGGGTGGCTGGGGATGTAGCTCAGTGGTGCAATGCTTACCTAACCTGTATGAGGCCCTGGTTTTGAGTCTCAGCACTGCAGGAAACAAACACAAATCTTTGGGAATCCTTTCAGTTAGTATCTCTGCCTGCAGGTCAGGTCACACTTGAGCTACTTTGCCCACTTGAGGGGTTAAATAGAGGCTAGAGTGGGGTCAGGACATATTCTGGTAGTGCCACCCTTGTGCCCTTTCTATCACTGCCAGCTGGGGAAACAAAGCTGATGGCAATATCACACATCTAAGAGCTACCAGACATGGTAGGGTCTTTGGGCCTCAGGAAAGGCTTCTGAAGCCCTCCACAGAAGGGAAGGTAGGACAGACAGATTGGAATTAGGACCTAAAACATCAAAGGTTCAATTCTCCCCTGGGGTCAGGGCAAGTCCTTGGACTAAGAGAGCCCTAGTACGATGGGGAAAGACACTCCTGAGTTCCATTAGGGACACTAGACCTAGACCAGGGTGCTGCCAGGCTCCCCTCCCTTCCCCCAGACCAAGCTAGGAGATGAGTCAGAGGCTGTGGCAAGGAGCTTCCTCCTAGACTTGGAGGAAATGAGCAAAGTTTTCTCAGACTGGCAAACTCTGAATGGTTTAAAAAGGGTTCCCCAGGGGAACTCTAGGCCCAATGGGGTGTGGGGGAGGAGCCCCAGGGAGGGTAGGCTGGCCTTTATACACATTTGGGAGGTTGTACAGTCTGCAGGGAAGATGGGCCAGTGCCCAGAGTGGGAAGGCAGAGGTCTCTTGGCTGTCTCTAGGATAATGCAGTGGGTAGAGAACCTCTCCCCCTTATTTTTGCCTTACAGCCTACAACAGGGATGCCTGGGTTTCCAGACCATCTCTCCCTTCTAGAAGGTAGCAAGGCAGACCTGAGTCATGCCTGAGCCTCTGGAGCACCCACTTATAGGACCTGGGGAGGAACCAGCTGCTGACATTTCCTGCAAGGAGCTCTGCTCCCCCACCACTCCCCCCGTCTCCCAGTTCTCTGATGTCCCTGCTCCTGTCCTATTCTCAGTCTCTTTTCCTCCAGCCTTCTATTCTGGGTCTGTGGTCACAGTTTATATTTGGGACAAGCACAACACAGGGCATCTGACCATTCCTGGCAAAGCTGTCAACTCTAGGGAGTTCCTGCTCCAGACAGCAAGGTAACTTTATACCTTTCCCAAATCCTCCCAATAGGGAGGGAGCATTTCTCAGGTGCTTCAGGTGGGAGATCCAAACTTCAGTCTGACCAAGAAGTACCGAGTTGTGGGAGGGAAACTTAATACCTCCATGATGGAGCTGGGCAGTGTCCTCAGCCAGGGAGCAGAGAACAAGGCACAGCACCTGGTTGGGAGGCTGTTTTATATTCATTCATATTCTCTCCCTCTTTAGCTGGGGACCGAACCTATGGGCCTTGTACATGCTAAAAACATGCTGGTAATGGATTTTCTAAATGAAGAGGTTCTAAACCATATTTCTACAGCTGATCTCCCAGCCCTGCTCCCAGTTGTGAAGAGGAAATGTTTTTAGAGTGAGGGAATGAGAGGAATACAGTTTTCCCTCTTGAGCTCCAGCCATATGTATGTACGCATGTATGTATGTGTATGTATGTACTTGTGGAACAAAGGATCAAACTCAGAGCCTTGCACATGCTAGGCAAGTGCTCTACCACTGATCTATACCACCCTGTCCCGGCCTTATTTCCAAACAAGGAGTTTCAGAAGTTTAGAAGCTAACAGGTCTCAGTTTAACACCCCCTTCTCCCTAGCCCACCTACACAGCTCCAGCTCAGCACCCCTTTTTCTCTATTTCTAATAATGAATTCCAGGTGGCCTCAGGCTGGGCATGCTTCCTCCAGGCCCCTCTGAACAGGGCAGGATAGGAGAGGAACCCATCAAAACTCTGAGGGTAGGCAGTTCGCTGCACCCTTCCAGCTGTGGTCAGAGAGCTAGGGCTCTGCCTGGACACCCGCCACTCCCCAGGCCAATAGTTTCCCGACCCCTCCCGCCTGCACTAGGAGGCGGGGCTGGCCTAAGCATGAGGAATGCAGGCTGCTGGGGGCCTGGAGCCCAGGGCACATTCCAGCGGAGACCCCGGGCCTAAGGGGTATGTTTGCGTAACTCCCAGCCTAGCTGAGGCACCCCACCGACTCCTTCCCTTCTCCCTCACTCCTCGTAGCTAACCCGCAGGTCGGGAACCCTGGGGGATGGCCGTGCGCCTCCCGCAGTCCTGGCCCGGAAAGAGCATGCCGGAAAGAGCTGCCTGCTGGGGGGTTGAGGGAGGCGAGCCGGAGGGGAGGGGTGGTCCGGCTGGCCATCTGGAAAACGGCCTGTCTAGCACGGAGCAAAGTCGGCCTAGGAGCGCCGGCAAAGTAGGGCAGGCCGGCGGTTTAAAATTAGCCGGGCCCGCCCCCTCCCTTCTAGGCGTGGGCCATCAGCGGCGGGGAGTACCAGGCGGTGGCGGCGGTGACTCAAAGGGCTTTTCCACTCGTGCAGCCTCCCAGGGCTCGGCATTTCCCGGGGGACTCTGCTCACCCAGGCCAGCACTCCCAGCCCCTCCCCCGCCGCCCCAGCCCCTGCGAGACTAGGCCCAAAGCAGCCTCCAGGCTCCAAGTCCCTGCCACCTCTGATGGCCCGTCCCAAGTCCGCCCCTCTTGGTAGCTCCGCCTCCACCTCACCTGAAGCAGGTGGAAACTGGTCCCTCCCCAGCTCCACCTCCTCCATCCACAACAGCGTGAACTGCCACCGACACCCTGCCCCTGCAGCAACCCTGGCATGCAGGCAGCGAGGGGACCCCAAGCACCTCTCCAGGTGGGCCTCACTTTCAAGGGCAGTCAGGGTGCCGCGGTTCTCAAACTCCCTTTTCCCTTCTACAATGCCCCCTCAACTGAAGAGTGCCCCCTCAACTGAAGAGTCCCCCCTCCGGGGACTTTTCCGGAGGAGAGCACCCACTCCAGCCTCCCCCTGAGAAGCACCGCCCACCGGCTTTCAGGGCGCGGTACCTCAACCTCGGAACGCAACTTTCTCTGCGCCCCCCTCACCTTGAGAGGCGCTCCTAGCAGACGGTGCAGCGCGGGTATCTGCGCGCTCAGGGGCAGCGCCCCGTCCAAGCTGCAGGTGGGGGCCCGGCGTGGCTCCGGGAAGTTGGCACATGCGAAAGGGTCGGTGTCTTCCAGGTACTGCACCCTCACAGTCACCACTGATACCGGGTCCCCGTCCCCGCGCTCTTCCTCGCCCGCCATGGCTCTGCCACCGGCTCGCACCGCACACCTTGGGGTCCCTGCCCGGCTGCAGCTTCTACTACACTAGCTCTGCTTTTTGGGCCGGGTCGGACCGGACGCGGCTGGGGCGGAGCCAGGAGGCGGAGCTGAGGAAGGGGGTGGAGCCGAGACTAGGCGGAGGCGCGGGTCAGGCCTAACCACCGCCAGAGGCGGTGCTTGGGTTCTTGCTGGTGATCCCGTTAGAAGCAGGGCTTGGAGGGCGGGAAAAACCCGAGCTCGCGCCCCGCCTCGCAGAGAGCCGAAGGCGGAGAGAATTTCTCTAGGTACAGTGGGAGAAGCTGCTGCGCTTCCTTGGGGGGATTTTAGGGCAGATTGGGCGGAAAGACTTCAGATAAATCTCCGTTATCTGGGCCATTCTGTTAAAGGGACCAGACGGGGTTAATTCCCATTTTGAGGGATCAGTAAAAGCATTTCTCGCAATTGGAGAAAACAGTGAGAAGGATCTCTAAGTTTGGAACAAGAAGTGAAAATAGATCTCACTGTTTGAAGGAAGAAATGGATTCAGTTCCCTCTAGTTGTGGGAAAAAAGGGTGGGTGCCCTTTCTAGAAAAAGAATAGAATGAGTCAGTTTGAGGAGGCAGGTACCACATGCTCCCTTCAGCTTGGGTGAAGAATGAATGAAAATGGAGACAGTCTTCAGTATAGGGATAGGGTGAAAAGAGTCAAATGCCTCAAGTTGGATGGATTGTTCCTGGTTTAAAGGGAATTCCAAAAGATCTCAGATTCGTGGAGAAGGTGAACAGAGTTCCCTGTAGTTTGAGGGTAAGGGAAGACGGTGTCCCTCGGTTCGGGAGAGAACAGTCTCCTTTTCAACCGGAATGAAATAGGCTCGATCCTGGCCTTGAGCTTTCTGGGCACGCCGGGGGCAGCGTCCAAGGCTTTCTCGGAGTGCCCACTGCGCGTGCGCAACTCAGAACCAGGCGGTGGCCCGAAGGGGGTCCCAGGTTTTGGAGGTGGTAGGAGAAAACGGCGGCGCACTGCCCCCTGCCGTTTTCTCAGCGTGGCGCCGGGGCCTGGGCACCTGGGGCGGGCAACTCGCCGCGAGCCCGCACAGGCTGCGGTGGAGCCGCGCCGGGCCGGCCCCTGACCCCCGGGACCCCGTCCTACCCGCGACGAGCCGCTCCCGGAGGCGGTGGTCGCTCACCGCTCCGAATCCCGCGAGGGGCGCTTTGGGAAGGACTGGGCTTCAGGACTCGGGGAAGAAGGGCTACGCTGGGGAATTTCCGGAGCTGCTGCTGGTCTAGTGGAGATGAAGGAGGGGATCCCAACTGGTGGCGTCCGGGGCAGGGTCTCGGAGCCCAGACCTGGCCTGGGGATATCGGAGCCGGGATTGGGGGGAGCGAACCCCACGTGCCTGTGACGCGGGGGCGCCGGGTAGGCGGCGGCGGCTGCAGCGACGCTGGGCCGGCGGCCGTGGCGGGAGGGCGGCTAGGCAAGCTGCAGAATGCTGCGCACCACACTGCTCCTGCTTTGCCTGCCCCTGGCGGGGGCGGGGGCCACAGAAGAACCCACCCAGGAGTCGGGGTCGCTGGGCGAGCCCCCTCCAGGCTTGGCGCTCTTCCGCTGGCAGTGGCACGAGGTGGAGGCACCCTACCTGGTGGCCCTGTGGATCCTGGTGGCCAGCCTAGCCAAAATCGGTGAGTGCGTGTGTGCGTGCGCCAGGCCAGCTGCAGGCGGCGGACCCGCCCCCAACCCCGGGGTCTCCGGATCCTGGCCGGAGCCTTTCACTGTTGGGGACTGAGGAGGCTCGAGTTCTCCAAATCCCGATTCTCACTCAGCTCCAGCGTCTCCTCTTGTGGGTCTCCTTCCTCCCCTTCTCTTCTGTGGGACCCCGGGGAATTTGCCTTTCTGAAGAGCGGGCTGTCCCTGCTCTCTTTAGCTCCATCTTTGGGCTCTTTTGCCAGCTCTGTCCTCCCCTTCCTCTTCAGTTAGCTCTCTCCAGTAAGCCTCTTGTAAGGCCTCTCCTCCAAATGCCCAGCTTCTCAGAAACCTGTCAGTTATGAGGGCGCCTGGAGACACTGAAGGGATAATTTTCTCCTGAGAAGCCAGGCATACTGGTTTTGAGAAATCGCCCTTCCCTAGAGACCACGTCTAAGAGTCCATTCTCCTCAGAAACTAAACTGCCACTTTTACTGTAGCTTACCCCTGTACCCTACTTAGAGATATTGCCACCTTCCCGTGCCTCAGTATGCCCCCCCCATTCATATTTCTTCCTCTTCAGGATTTAAGAAACTTCTTTTATTGGGTCTTTACTGTGTTCTGACTACCCTGGGTGCTATCAAACATCCGACCTCCTTCAGTCCTCACACTGAAGGCTTTCAGATCAGAGAGAGAGAGAGAGAGAGAGAGAGAGAGAGAGAGAGAGAGCTTTCCCTGCCTCTTCGGAGCAATCAGGAGCCCTGCCTCCCAACAGAGACCCTCCTTTCTGTTGTGCAGGTTCTGCTGTGGGGGTGACTAATTATAGCTGAGTGCTGCTATTCCCCATTTATGCTGGCACAGCTTGTACTCCAGTCTCACCAGTACACCCTTCCTGTAGGGAATGCCACAGTCTAGAATTTGCCCCTTTCTCCTCCTGGGACGTTGCTGGTGGAGAATTGAGCAGGAACAGAACTGTCCACTTCACCTTGGCAGCCCTGGATTAATAATGGAAAATGACTCTAAATTAATCTTCAGGGAGCCTGATTCTTCCAGAGAATTGGCTTTTGTGATGGTTCTTGGATTTGCAGGGCTGGGGCTCATACATGCTGAGGGGAGGAAGATGAAGAAGAGGAGAGGACACTAAAAGTGGGACTGAAGATAAGGAGAACTAGTCTGAACCCTCCTTAGAGGCTCAGCAGCAGGGGCAGTAAGGAGGCAGGGGCAGCCTCAGATTTGGAGAAAGGATTGGGTTTGCTGAGAAATCTATGGATTATAGAAGAGTTCCTGTCTTAAGGTATATAGCAACAACTGTAGTTTCCCCAATACATCCTAGATAGTGCTTTTCTAGTTCTCTGTAGGAGGTGTCATCCAACTAGAAACTCCTTACCAGTTTAAAAAAGTCCTCAGAGAGAAGGGAAAGATAGATGGAATATTTAGGAGCACCTTCCAGGTTCTCCTAGAACACCCTCTCTCCTTTTATTCAACAAATATTGATGAAGAGTCCACTGTGTGCTAGGCAGTCTTAGGCTCTTTGGGTATAGTTTCCAAAGGACACTGCTTTGACACAAGAACTCACACAGGTTAATAAGGAGGCTTCCTTTATTGCACCTCAGGGACTGTATGGGGAAAGATGTGTTCAGTCATAGTCTAAAGACCCAAGGGAGAACCATATTTTAGGGGACAAAGGTAGGATTAGCAATAGGATTAGAAGCCCTTTCCTTCTACTCTCTTTTCCTAGAGATAGATATGTTACTTTTCCCCAGGGTCAAATTTAATTAACGTTCGTCGAGAACTTACTATGTGTCTCACACAATACTAGGCACATTTTATATCATTTTATCTTAACTCTTTGTGATTTTTTTTTCTTATGCTAAAGAAACTGAAGTTTAGATGCCTGAGATCACATAGTTAGAAAGTGGTTGGGGCTGGAGAGATGGCTCAGCGGTTAAGAGCACTGACTGATCTTACAGAGGACCCAGGTTTAATTCCCAGCACTCACATGGCCTCTAACAACCATCTGTAACTCCAGTTGCAGGGGATCTGATGCCCTCTTCTGACCTCTGCAGGCATTGCGTGACATACACACACTTGCAGGCAATATACACATACACATAAAATAAAAATAATAAAGTGGTAAGGCCAGAAGAAGACTTGGAGATACACAAAGCTGAACCTATATAATAGAATACGTACACTGGGTTGGGAGGCCAACAATGCTTCTAAGAGGGGGTGTGTGTATGTGTGTGCGCGCATGTTTGTAGGTAGGTATATATACTTATATATGTAAAACAACCCTGACTATATAATAATACATTAACATTCATAATGGTATATTAATAGGTATATTAATGGGTGCTTACTATAAATCACTGTGCTGAGTGTGTTTGTTTGAGATAAGTTCTTGCTACATAGGTCAGGCTAGCCTTGAACTCACTATATAAATCAGACTGATCTTGAACTCAAAACAATCTTCTTGCCTCAGCTCTCCAAGTACTAGGATCACAGGTGTGTGACCCTACATTTGTTCTTTCTTTCCCCCTGTGGTACCGGGGATTGAATCCAGAACCTCATTAATGGCAGGAAGTGCTCTCTACCATTCATTGTTCTACTACGGATCTATATCCTCGACTTTATTTTTTATTTTATTTTTTTATTTTTTGTCTTTTTGAGACAGGGTCTCCCTGTAGCCCCAGCTGTCCTGGAACTCACTATGTAGACCAGGCTGGCCTTGAACTCACAGAGATCCGCCTCCCAAGTGCTGGGATTTAAGGCATGCGCCACCATACCCGGCTGCTCGACTTTATTTTGAGACAGTCTTGCTAAGCTGGTCATAGGCCTGCCCCACCAGGCACAGCTCTGAATGCTTTTAACCAGATTGTTTTATTTAATCCTCATAGCAGACCCATGAGATCACTATTGTTTTAAATCCCATTTTGTTGATGAGGAAATTGAGTCAGAGAACTAGTAAATAGAGGACTTAGTATTCAAACCCAAGCAGCCTGATTTATTTTTCAGCCATTTTATGCATAGAGACTGGTTAGCCTTTGCTTAACTTCAGATAATAGCTATGGATAAAGGTCAAAGAAAGATGAGGTCAGTCCCTGAGGATGAGAGTTGAGAGGAAGCGGTGATTTCAGAAAGGAAAACGAAGCAAGCAGAGGCCTTGCAACCATGGAGGGTTTGTAGCCTTGGAGGCTTGGAGACTCTAGAAGTTCTGTATTTCTTTCTTCCTCCATTGGTGCCAGGGTCCAGGATTCTTACCTTGGGTAACTTAGAAGACAGGAGATCATAGGCCAGGGTATGAAAGGGTGTCCCATGACCTCATACCTGTTGCCCTCTTCTTGTATTGCAGTGTTTCACCTGTCCCGGAAGGTAACATCTCTGGTGCCTGAAAGCTGCCTGCTGATTTTGTTGGGCCTGGTGCTAGGGGGCATTGTCTTAGCTGTGGCCAAGAAAGCTGAATACCAGCTGGAGCCAGGGACCTTCTTCCTTTTCCTGCTCCCTCCTATTGTTCTGGACTCAGGCTATTTCATGCCGAGCCGGCTGTTTTTTGATAACTTGGGTGCCATCCTCACCTATGCTGTGGTGGGCACCCTCTGGAATGCCTTCACAACAGGTGTTGCCCTCTGGGGCCTGCAGCAGGCTGGACTTGTGGGTGAGTAACCCAAAGTAAAAAATCGTTTTGCCAGATCTAGCCCCTGACTCCCCCTTCTCCGGCTCTGAAGTTCAGATGCCTATGAACCATTCATTCCTTGGGAGCTCTGTCATAGGTCCTTCCTACCTGGAGTGCAAGGCAGTGCTCCAGACAGGCTTCAGTCCTAATTTTGGTCTCTGCCAGTTGGAGCTGTGCTTCTGTAGCATAACAGCTGAGCAGGGGCCTGGCTCCCAGCTGTGTGTGGGCTGCTGAGGCTGAGGAGCCTGCATTAGCACTCTGTTGCTTCCTGCCCTCTGTTACCACCTTGCCACCTGCCAGTCCATCTTCCCTGAGACAAGCTCACCATTCCTGGAAGGGCTTACATCCTGGCTGTGCTCAGCCAATGCCAGGATGGTTTCCAGTTTTGTTTTTCTAAAGATTTATTTTTAAGTGTGTGTGTGTGTGTGTGTGTATGTGTGTATGTGTGTGTGTGTGTGTGAATGCAGATATTCTTGGATGCCAGAAGGTGTCAGATCTCTTGGAGCTGGAATTATAGGTGATTGTGAACTGCCTGATATAGGTGCTGGGAACCGAACTCTGGTCCTCTAGAAAAGCAGCAAGTGTTCTTAATGGCTGAGCCATCTCTCCGGCCACTTCCAGTTCTATTTTTTTTTTTTTTTCATCTTTTTTGAGACAGGGTCTCCCTATAACCCCAGCTGTCCTTGGAACTCAATAGTTAGACCAGGCTGGCCTTGAACTCACAAAGATCCACCTGCCTCTGCCTCCCAAGTGCTGGGATTAAAGGCATGTGCCACCACACCCAGCCCAGTTCTTATTTTAATAAATACACATTTTACATCTACAAAATGCTAACAACTGTACTGGGCTTTCTTTTCTATTGTCTCTTCATAACAGCCCTGGTAGGATATTATCTGTCTCATTTAATGGATGAGAAAGTAGAGCCCCTTAAGTTCATTTGGTATCAGGTCTAGTGGTTAGCCTCCATTTTCTTTTTTCTTTTTGTTTTTTTAAAAAAAATATTTTTATTTTATGTATATGATTGTATTGCCTACATATGTGTAAGTGTACCCGTGTAGTGTAACGCCCTTGGAGGTCAGAAGATGGTGATAGATTCCCTGGAACTGGAGCTAAAGATGGTTGTTAACCACGATGTGGGTGCTGGGAATCGAACCTGAGTCCCCTGCAAGAGCAGTTAGTGCTCCTAACCGCTAAGCCATCTCTCCAGCCCCCTCTTTTTGTTTTTTTGAGACAGGGTCTCCCTGTAGCCCCATCTGGCCTGGAACTATGTAGACCAGGCTGGCCTTGAACTCACAAAGATCTGCCTGCCTCTGCCTCCCAAATGCTGGGATTAAAGGCATGCACCACCATGCCCAGCTCCACCTCCATTTTCTTATGGTTCTTTTCCTTATGCCCTCTCCTGATTGCTTCATTTCCTGACTCAATAAATCCATTCAATCCTGATACTGATAATTCAGATTTCTTCCAAAGAAAAAGGAGAAGCTTACAATTCCCAGCTGTGGACTCCAATCTGGTTTTCTTAGTAAAAGTGAATGAACTATTTGGGGCAGGAAGGAAAAGGAAGGCCTCAGATCCTAATTATAATAGTAATTCTAATAATAGGTAATGTTGGTTGCTTACCACATATTAGGTATTAGCTAAATAAAGAACATTTTGAGGTTGATGTTGTTATTTCCAATTTGTCCTTGGGAGAAACTAAGGCATAGAGGTTGTTTGCCATATTCAAGCCCCACTTACGGTAGTTTTCATACCATCTTCAGGCCTCCCCTTCCTGCTGAGAATTCTGTATGTGCCACATCCTTTTGACTGAGAACCACAGGCATGGAGAAGCTTCTGTTAGCCTCCCTAATACAGCCAGTCAGCAGCCAATTCTACTGTTGATGCAGTTTTTACCAGTGCCACCTGAGTGGTTTTTGGAGCCATCTTGTGAATTAGGCAGATGAAGAGGCATGGCCAAGAGAAGCCATGTGGCAGTGACAAGAGCCTACATCACACAGTGATTGCAGAGCCAGGCCTTACACCTAGGCAGCTCAGCTCAAGTCTCCTGACCTGCAGGCTCTTCTCACCTTCCTGAGTCCCCTTTGGGTTTATTTCTTCCCAGTGGAGAAGCATCTGGGCTTGTCCCAGGGAAGGTGTTTTACCAGTGGGGGTGGCTTCTGGACTTGTCCCAAGGTGTGATGCAGGAGGCGGAGCCATCTTTACTAATCACTGCCTGCCTTCTGTCTCTCCCTGCATAGCCTCTAGGGTCCAGGCTGGCCTGCTGGACTTCCTGCTGTTTGGGAGCCTCATCTCAGCGGTAGACCCGGTGGCTGTGCTGGCTGTCTTTGAGGAGGTGCACGTTAATGAGACTCTCTTTATCATCGTCTTTGGCGAGTCCCTGCTCAATGATGCAGTTACCGTGGTGAGAGTGCTCAGTGGACTGCCAACCCCTGAGCCCAGACTGCCATGTTCTGACAACTGGCCATCTGACCAGGCTCATACTTTTCCTCCTAGCCACTGGGGAAGAAATAGGGTCTGAGCTTTCTTCTACTTCAGCCCACCCCTTCTCTGTTGCCTCCTCCTAGTTCCTGACTCTCTTGTCATTCAGGTGCTGTATAAGGTCTGCAACTCCTTTGTGGAGATGGGCTCTGCCAATGTGCAGGCTACTGACTACATGAAGGGAGTCGGTCAGTATTTCCCCCAACTTGGCCATCATTGAATGTCTGCCTTCCCTGGGTTGCTGAGTCCCACCTACCCACATCAGGACAGAGGAGGCTATTCTGGCTGCCTCATTTTTCTTACTCCTCTATGGAGAAACAGGGTCTGGGAGGAGCTTGCCCAGGGATCCTGGTCTGGGCTTCTGAGCCCCAGGGAGCATGGTGGGTGTTTTCTCCTACTTCTTGATAGGCAACAGTCTTGTCAGCCCAGCTTGGGGAGGGTCTGGGCCAGGGGTCATGCTGACAACCCACTCCTCCCCCAGCCTCCCTGTTTGTGGTCAGTTTGGGCGGGGCAGCCGTGGGCTTAGTCTTTGCCTTCCTCCTGGCCCTGACCACACGCTTCACCAAGCGGGTCCGCATCATCGAGCCGTTGCTGGTCTTCCTCCTCGCCTATGCAGCCTACCTCACTGCTGAAATGGCCTCACTCTCTGCCATTCTTGCGTGAGTCCTGAGGGGTATTGAAGGCAGGTAGCTGGGAATGCGCATTGCACATAGTCACCCTTTTTATGGGTAGAGGCAAGATCTTAAGGAATCCATAGGCTTCCCCAAACCCTTGTGGTAATGGGCACCTCACCCTCTCCTCAGGGGACAGTAAGCCACAAGTTATCTTGCAGAACTGTCTGGGTACCCATAACCGTCCTGGGCACCTGAGGGCTAACACTTCTGTTACTTGAAGTGCAGGCTAAGCTGCAAGTAGACTTCAGAGCCTGATGCCACTGGTTAATGTGGCTATAGCACCCCGAAAGTTACCTCTGAGAGTCTGCTAGTCAGACCAAGAGACATTCAGTGGGAAACCTGGAGATCTGGACTCATCCCAGGACTACCACTGACCAGTATTCTGCATGCTTCCCTGGGCTTTGGCTTAGATAATCTGTCACTGAAATGGGCAGCATCCCCTCCTGCAGCATGCTTAAGACCCAGAGTCTGAGCTGTCCTGACCCTCCGTCACTTACAGTCTTGTTCCTCTCTCAGGGTGACCATGTGTGGCCTGGGCTGTAAGAAGTACGTGGAGGCCAACATCTCCCATAAGTCACGCACAGCTGTCAAATATACAATGAAAACCCTTGCCAGCTGTGCTGAAACGGTCATCTTCATGCTACTTGGCATCTCGGCTGTGGACTCTTCTAAGTGGGCCTGGGACTCTGGGCTAGTACTGGGCACCCTCTTCTTCATCCTGTTCTTCCGAGCCCTCGGTATTGCTGGCACCCTCTGCTTCCCTGCTTTCTTCCCTGTCCCTTCTCACTCCACAACTCATCCCTCAATCCAAATCTTCATAATTGTTAATTCCCAAGCCTCCCCTCATTGCTCACTTCTCCCAACCCCTGCCAGACCTTAGCCCACGTTTGGTGCCATCCACTCTGTGTCCTCCACTCCCAACACCTTGCTCCTACTGGCCTCCCTCCTGCTGTAGGCGTAGTACTGCAGACGTGGGTGTTGAATCAGTTCCGGCTGGTCCCTCTGGACAAGATTGACCAGGTGGTGATGTCCTATGGGGGCCTGCGGGGGGCTGTGGCCTTTGCTCTCGTCATCCTACTGGACAGGACCAAGGTCCCTGCCAAGGACTACTTTGTGGCCACTACTATTGTGGTAGTCTTCTTCACAGTCATCGTGCAGGTGGGAGTTCCCAATAGACTAGATGGGGAGAGGGTTCAGCAAGCCCTGGGGGAGTCTTGGAACACTTTGGGACAGGGCTTCTCTTTCCATTGGGGAAAGCAGGGACCTGACTTCCCAGACCTTGAGTGCGTTGGGTGGAGGCAGAGCTGAGGCCTGAGTAGGGGGAGAAAAAGGCAGCAGGGAACTGAATAGGGCAGGGCTCACCTCCTGCCTGTCCATAGGGTTTGACCATCAAGCCACTGGTCAAGTGGCTGAAGGTGAAGAGGAGTGAGCATCACAAACCTACCTTGAACCAGGAGCTACATGAGCACGTGGGTACCAGAACTCCATTCATCCACCTGTCCCTTTCTCCCTTCTCCTATCTTGGCAGAGTCCTGATCTAGTCCCCTACCCACCCCCCTTCTAGACTTTTGACCACATTCTGGCTGCAGTGGAGGACGTTGTGGGGCACCATGGCTACCACTACTGGAGGGACAGGTGAGGGAGCTACCCCGAGGCTCCTTCAGCAGCAGTAGCCCCACCAGTCAAGGCAGCATGGGGGATATGCTACCCTTCTGAGAAGGGATGCAATCAGGTTCAGGCTGGGTGACCTCTGCCTGAAGCCCTTCAGTGGCATCCTAGTGCTCTCAGGATAAGACAGAGCTCCCCAGGGTTGCCTGCCAGGCCTTGCATGGTCTGACATGTGCCAGACTCCAGCCCCATTATGCTCTGCTCTGTCTTTGATGGTCTGCTTAGTAATTACATGGGCCCTATTCTAGAGTCTCAGGGTCCACCATGCTGTCCAAGCCTGGCCACTGAGACCATTGTATATGCTGTTCTGTCTCCTAGAACACTCCTTTACTTCCATCTTACTTCCCTCGCTTCATTCTTCAGATCTTACCGTAGGCACTGATTCCTTAAGGAGGGTTCCTCTGGCTTCCCTGACTAGGACAAATCTTTGGTAGTTCTTGTCATGGTTGTAATTCTTATTTTTAATACTTTAATTAATGTCAGACTTTCTCCAGAAACTAAATGCCATAAGAAAAGGGACAGCCTTGATATTCTCCTTGGCTGAGACCCCATACCAAGAAAGCCAGGCCAGTGCTGGCAGTGTCCCTGCCCAATCTGAGGAAGGGTCAGCCAGCCGCACCTTGAGGATGGTACTCAGGGCTGGGCCTGGCATCCTCTGTAGGTGGGAGCAGTTTGACAAAAAGTACCTGAGTCAGCTGTTGATGCGACGATCAGCCTATCGTATACGGGACCAGATCTGGGATGTGTACTACAGACTCAACATCCGAGATGCCATCAGCTTCGTGGACCAGGTGGGCCAGCAGTTACCAGGTAGGCGAGTGGCAGAGAGACAGATGGTGAGCAGAGCAGGGCAGAAAGGGGTGACAGGCAGGTAGGCTTGTTAGCCGAGGGCAGGGAATTGGAATTCCCAGCTGGTTCTATGGTTCTATGAAATCACAGTTGCAGGAGCCAGCCTGGTCTGATGTTGACAGAGTCTGGCAGACAGTATAGAAAGGCAGGAAACAGGTGAACTCTGGAGTCAACAGATATAGTTCAACTGTTATCACAAACAGGCCGGTGCAAGGCTAAGTCATATTGCCTGAGCCTCAGTTTCCTCAGTGATAAGAAAGCAGGAATGCTGGGCATGGTGGCACACGCCTTTGATCCCAGCACCTGGGAGGCAGAGGCAGGTAGATCTCTGTGAGTTCAAGGCCAGCCCCACTGCAGGGAGACCCTGTCTCAAAAAAAAAAAAAAAAAAAAAAAAAAAAAGAAAAAGAAAGAAAGCAGGAACAAGAATAAGACTACCTATGTCAGATTTTATGAATTCAGTATATGAAGTATTTCAGTATCCAGCCAACAAAAGAGCAAAATAAGGTCTGGGGTGTGATTCAGCATTTGCACAGCATGTGTGAGACCCTGGGTTTAATCCCCAACACTGGCTCAAAACAGTGATCACAATAATTGTTGACAAGGGTTAATCTCTATTCCCCTGACTGTCTGGGCTACCCTCCATCTGCTCCCTATCTGACCTTGGTCTTGACTCCTACAGGGAGGCCACGTTTTGTCCTCCACAGGCCTCACTCTACCCTCTATGCCTAGCCGAAATTCTATGGCAGAGACCTCTGTCACCAACCTGCTGTGAGTCCAAGAGTCTTCTTCTCAAGCTCTCCACTGGGTCCTCTTCCTGGGTCCTTTCCCTGAATCCCTTCTGGGGAAGAGTTGTCAGTACCTCTTTGCCTCTCTCTTTCCCTTTGCCTGTGCTGCCCACTCCTCAGTACACATGTCACTGCCTCCTGCAGGAGGGAGAGTGGCAGTGGAGCATGTCTGGATCTCCAGGTGATTGACACGGTACGCAGCGGCAGGGACCGGGAGGATGCTGTCATGCATCATCTGCTCTGTGGAGGCCTCTACAAGCCACGCCGCAGGGTGAGAGCTTACAGGACATGAGAGTTCTGAGGGGGGCGGTGGGTGATCTGCAGAATCCATGATCAGAGAGAGGCTCAAGAGGCAGTTGGTGCTAGCTTGTATCCAGCCGTGGGTGCCCAACTGAAGGCTGTGAGTTTCATCCTTTGTTGTTTGTTTAGTTTTGTTTTGCTGCTGTTGAGTTGGAGAGAGTGTTGGTCTTTTCTGGTAGCAGGATGCACATCAGATTAGAGGGCATGAGTTGAGAGCTAAACTAGTTGGGACTCTAGAGGGAAACATTTTGGATTAGAAGCTGGTTGGCAGGAGGCAGAGGGACACACAGGATCTGGGCACTGTTCCCATGGGGAGAGGAGATACTGGACAAGGGGCTTAGAGAAGTAGGTAACAGACGAAAGCAGGGACACTGAGGAAGCCTTTGGGGCCAATTTGGGAGGGGCAGACATCTGTTTTAGGTAATATGAGTTAGTCTAGTGCTCTGGACCTAGAAAGACCCATTCCATCCTGGAGAGGATCTCTTGCAACCCCACAAGGGGGCAGCAACCCATTATCCTGAACCTTTGAAAATGAGAATTTGGCTATTACCATTCCTGGCAGTGTTACCGGCAAGGCTTTTAGATAGAATTGGCTTAACTTGCATGCCCTTCTTTTGATTTGATTTCTATTTCTGCAGAGTAAACTTCAGAGGTTTCAAGGTAGCTCCTCCTACACAGGGCCTGTTACTCCCAATCTAGCATCTCCTGCTCCTGGTGTCTTCTCTGGCCATGAGAACCCCCACCCTCATGGAAGGTTCTACTGTGTGACTGTCTGGTGCAAGGCAGCTCTCTCACCCTCCTAGTTCTAGAATTTGCTATTCCTGCAGCCCAGGATCCCTGATTTGGCTCACAATTTAGGGCCCCATACTGTCCTCACACTGCCAAACCCTCATGTATTCCTTGCTTCGTGGCTGTCAAACCCCATCACATCCAACTGTTGTTTTTTTTTTTTTCTTTCAGCTTTTTTCTTATGAAAAATTTCATCAAAGAAAATAACTCTTGGGCCGGGCATGGTGGCGCATGCCTTTAATCCCAGCATTTGGGAGGCAGAGGCAGGCGGATCTCTTTGAGTTCAAGGCCAGCCTGGTCTACATAGTGAGTTCCAGGACAGCTGGGGCTACAGGGAGACCCTGTCTCAAAAAGACCAAAAAAAAAAAAAAAAAAAAAAAAAAAAAAAAAGAAAGAAAAAAGAAAAAAAGAAAAGAACTCTCACTTGTTTATTGTCCAACTAATTATTATCCATATGATTAATATTTTTTACATTCTATAGCCCCACCATACCCTGCCCACATTTCATCTTACAGCAGATTCTAGACACCATATCATATCATTGCTTAAGTTATGTATCTCTAGATGGCAAGAACTTTTATGTAATTTTTTAAATTTTGTTTTATTTTATTTAGAGATAGGATCTTGCTTTGTAGCCCAGGTGGGCCTCAAATTTGAAATCCTCCTGTCTCAGCCTACCAAATGCTATGATTAAAATTATGAACACCATACTCAACTGGCAAGGACTCCTTAAAAAAATGAGACCGGGAAGCTGGAGAGACAGCTCAGTGGTTAAGAGCACTGACTGCTCTTACAGAGGACCTGGGTTCGATTCCCAGCACCCACAACCATCTGTAACTCCAGTTCCAGGGGAATCCAATGCTCTTCTGACCTCTGCGAGCATCACAGGACATAGCTACACTTACACACATGCAGGCAATACACTCATACACATAAAATAAAAATAAGTGGTGGTGCACGCCTTTAATCCCAGCACTTGGGAGGCAGAGGCAGGTGGATCTCTGTGAGTTCAAGGTCAGCCTGGTCTACATAGTGAGTTCCAGGACAGCTGGGGCTACAGGGAGACCCTGTCTCAAAAAGACCAAAAAAAAAAAAAAAAAAAGACCAGACCAGGCACAAGACTTTAATTCTGGCACTTGGGAGGCAGAGGCAGGCAGATCTCTGTGAGTTCAAGGCCAACCTGGTCTGCACAGCAAGTTCCAGGCCAGCTGGGGCTACAAGGAGACCCTATTTCAAAAAGACCCCCCTCCCCCCAAAAATGAGACCAGGCTAAAGCTGTAGTGCAGTAACAGAATATTTGTCTACCATGCATGAGAGGGGCTCTGGGTTTGAGCCCAGCACTACCCAAATCAAGTCAAATCAAATCAAATCAAATCACAGTACTGTTATTATAACATAATGATTCCTTATTATATTAAGTATCCAGTCAGTGTTCAGTAAATATCTTTTTTCCTAGCTGGTTTGTTCTCAGGATACAAAAGAAGTTCATAATTTGTGTCTGAGAAATAAATATGTTTCTTCATTAAGAAAAACTATAACAGTTTCTTTTCCCCCTCTCCTTGATATTTATTGAAGAAACTAGATGCTTTATATTGGAGAATTTATCATTTCTCTGTTTTATCATTTTGCTATTTTCCAGTGTTAACACGTTCCTCCATCTCTTAAATTTTCTGGCTATTAAATCTGGAGGTCTGATCAGAGTCAAGGGCATTCAATTAATATTGCTATATACGTCTTATTGTGTTACATCAGAGTACATCATTGTGTGTGGTGTGTGTGTATGTGCGTATGTGTGTATGTATATGACTGGTCAGTGGGTTCGATTCAGTTCTTGTACAGTCAATTTAAAAAGACCTAGAGTGAATTTGTGTTTATCTTGTTCAACGTCTTATTTAATTTAGCATCATTCCATCGTTTGGATCCCATGTCTGCCACAAATGTCTCCTCAGATTCATATCATCTGAAAATTTGCTAAGCCTGTTAACTTTATATCCATCTAAATCATCATAAAAATGTTGAACAGGATAGAGCTGAGGACAAAGCCCTGTGGCATGCTACTAAAGACTTTCCTCCAGACTGACATGGACCAAGCATTTTTGGGGTATGGTTATTCAAGTAGTTCTGAATCCACTTAGTTGTACTGTGACACAATCCATAATTCCTCATGTTCTTTTCAGAAATGTCATTAAAAAGAAATAACATGCAGTTAAATAAGATTATAGCTTAAGCAAGAGATGGGGCTGGAGAGAACTATTTGGAAGCAGTCTATTCAGAGGCCTCCTCATACATTGGCATTCCCTGAGAAGCTTGACGGAATATTCTTGGCTTCACCCCCCCAGAGATTTTGATTTTGTAGAACAGAGTGGAACTAAGAATCCGTGTTTTTAAAAAGTCCCCCAGGTGATTCAAATGCAGCTGGTCTGATGCCTGGTGTTAGATCATGGCACTGGGTTGGCTGAAGCTGAGAGAATGGATAAGTTCTCTAAGGAGAACGCTTAAAGAAAGATAGCCAAGAATAATACAGAGGAACATACCTGGGAGCAGTAAAGCAGCAGCAGTAGCAGACAGTGTCTCTGCCTGGGGTGGAAGCAGGGCTGGCTGCCACACATGGGCCAGCCAGGCTGGTGCCTGCACAGAGGTCACAGGACCAGTGACCAGGGAGAAGGTAGCACTGTGGACTGACAGACCTTCAATTGCATTTCTGATATTTAAGGAAGTACTGGGCAGAAAGGAAAGTGTCAATATCAAATTATAAGACCTTGGGCAGGAGGGTGTGATGGCGCATGTCATTAATCCCAGCACTTGGGAGGCAGAGGCAGGCAGATCTCTGTGAGTTCAAGGCCAGCCTGGTCTACATAGTGAGTTCCAGGCCAGCTGGGGCTGTAGGAAGACCCTGTCTCAAAAAAACAAAAAAAAAAAAAAGACCTTGGCCACAAAAGGGAGACAGTAGTATCAATGGAAGTGCTTAAAAAAAAAAAAAAAAAAAAAAAGCAAAGACAGGCACTTACTTGAAAGCAGAGGGGAAGTGGCCAACAGCAAGAGAAGGAGCAAAGATGCAGGAAAGTTGAAAAATAGGAGGGAGCTGAGAACTGAGGGAGGTAGGAAGGAATGAGTCTCCCAAAGCTAAGACCAGGGCTGAGGAAGATGGGCTACTTCACTCCAGGAGAGACGGGCACTTCCAGATGAATAGGTAGGCAAACAGGAGACTTGGAAGTTCTGAGAAGTGGTTCAGAGAAGCAGAAAATAGGAGGAATAGGAAAGGGCCCAGATAGAAATGAGATAAGATGAGTAACCTGGAATGTTCTGAGTAATACTTCAGGTTGCTCGGCTGCCAAGGGCAGCAAGGGAAGCCTGGGTGAGTGTATGGAGGCCTTGGTCTTTATGAGAATTAGAAGAAGGTGAAGGAGTAGCTCTAAATTAAGTACACAGTTTGGGGACCAAAAGGATCCAATTATCAGGAGAGATAGTTATGAAAGTCCAAAGCACAGCTCTGGTGACATGGTGTGGTTGTAGAAATGGCTAGATGGAAAGACTAGCTGGAAAGAGGATCATAGATAGATGGGGACAAGTAGGCTGAGTGTGTGGGCCACACTGAGCTAAATGGACATGCAAAGGATATGGCCCTATGGTTTTGTAGTAACCCTGGGGGATAAAATACAGGACCCTTGTCACTTCAGATCAGAGAACTGAAAAAAAGCAGGGGTTAAGGAAAGCCAGGTTTGGGGGAATAAATTCCAGGGCAAAGGGGAGTGTTTTCTTAGTGATCTGAGAATAGAGTTGTGTTCCTCTTGTATGTTTTTTTTTTTGTTTTGTTTTTATTCATAGATTTTTATTTATTTATTTATTTATTTATTTATTATTTATTTTGGTCTTTTTGAAACAGGGTCTCTCTGTAGCCCTAGCTGTAGCCCTAGCTGTCCTGGAACTTACTATGTAGACCAGGTTGGCCTTGAACTCAAGACCCACCTGCCTCTGCCTCCTGAGTGCTGGGATTAAAGGCGTGCGCCATCACGCCCAGCCATGTTTTATTTTTCAATCTATGGCTAGGTCTCAAAAAGCTGGGCTGGCAGGCCATATAGTTGGGGTTGTGGCCTGGGGTTCCTGTGGGAGGCCAATGCATCTAGTCTCATGGCAGGATGGGGCTATCATTTCCAGTACAAAGCTAGTTGTGGCCGCCACTTCATCTCTGAGGATGCACAGGAACGACAGGACAAGGAGGTCTTCCAGCAGAACATGAAGCGACGGCTTGAATCCTTCAAGTCCACCAAGCATAACATCTGCTTTACCAAGAACAAGCCGCGAACCCGTAAGGCCGGCCACAAGAAGGCACGTCTTTTCTCTGGGACTCCTCCTTTTGGGCTATAGGCTGATAGCAAACAATTCTGAGCCTTCACATACTGGAATCCAGCCTAGGGAGACCCCTTATTTAATCATCTTCAGGGGTTTGATTATTATAGTAGTTTGGGTTCTCCTTTAGATCTTTCTAAGGCCTTAGATGGGTAAGGGGAGGCCTTTAGAGGGAGAGCAGCCTCTTGGCCATGGGGTCACTTGCTACTAGTGATAAAACAGGCAAAAGAGCAGATAGATTCCTTGGAGAAGCAATTCTAGGAGCCCCTCAGTCAGCCCAGGCCCACATATCCAGAGACTGATAGGAAGTAGGTTACTCTAGCTGCCTAACCAAGGACTAGTGGAATGGTAGAACCTCCTCCTGTGACTCTGCCATATTACAGGGAAGGGGGTGGTGGTTAGAATCAGGGCCAGAGACTTAGGTTTGCTTTCTTGGTCCTCAGAAGGATGGTATGGCTAATGCTGAGGCTACACTTGAGAAACCTCGAGACCTGGGCTTTCAGGACACAGGCAAGTAGGGAGCAGCAGGATGGGCTGGGAGGAGGGGGAAAAGACCCATTGTACAGAACCTGGAGGATCTCGTCTGGGTGCGTTTAGCACCATGAGCTGGACCCCTCCCCTCAGATTAGATGGGCAATACTTGAGTGTTGGAATTCCTTAAACCAGTTATGCCATGGATGATAGGATTGCTAATTATGACTATGGGCCCTAAGAACTTGGAAAAGGTCCTAGAGAGGGGAAGACTGACCTGAGCCTTAAAGGACCGGTGGAACCAAAGCGTTCCATCTGCAAAATTCAGTTCCCTATGAGCTGAGTGTTAATGTGCCTTCCAGCCCTGCAGGTACTCATAGTGTCAATTGATCTGGGGCCCGACATTGAGGACAAGGGAGCTGGAAGGTGTGACCCTTACGGCTTTCTCTGAGGACTTAGCACCTTCTGGTTGCCTCCTCAGGCTCTGCAATCTTCTTGCCCTTCCTCTTCAGCCCCTGCTCCCTAGGCTTGTTCCCCAAAAAGGCCCAAGGAAAATGCACATCCCTCTGCCAACATGGGCCTTGCTGAGGGGACAGGAGCTAGCTTGGGGTTGTTTGGTACCAAGAAGCAGCTTCTGGGTTGGCTGCCCTGACTCAACTTTTGTCTTTGTCCAGCTGCTGTGATACTAACCGTGGAGTCTGAGGAGGAAGAAGAAAGTGATAGCTCAGAGACAGAGAAAGAAGATGACGAAGGGATTATCTTTGTGGCTCGAGCCACCAGTGAGGTTCTCCAAGAGGGCAAGATCTCAGGTAATGACTTCTTGCTGTCTCTCTTCCCTGTGGAACAAGCTGTTTCCTCCATCTGATATGGCTTCTGCTTCAAGCAACTCACTTTTTTAATTCACTAGTTTATTGACTGCCAGCATTTACTGAGCATCTTCATTCTGTCAGAACTTCACACATAAGATCTAGCTCAAACCCAAGATGGAGAAACAGAACTCACAGAGCCTAAGAGACTTGTGAATTGTACAGCATCATATGACAACCAGAATTTGAGCCTGACTCTCTTGACTCCAAAATCCATAGCCTCTACCTTTAAGTCTGAGGAACACAAGGTCATATACAGACCTAAAAGCAGGTTCTCTTGTGACCCATGCTTAACATACCTGACCTCAGGTAGATCCCTGAGAAGAAAAGAGCCTATAACTTGGGAAGGAGCCTGAGGCTATCAAAGTGCAATCATTGTGGATAAAAACCAGTGTACCCATTTCTGCATGTGGAGAGCACACTCATAATACTAGGTTTCACTGTTAGTTGGCTCAAGTATTCAGGGACTTTAGAAAAGTTTATTACAGAAAATTTCAAAATATGCAATGACAGAATAGTGAAATAAACTCCCATCTGTCCATTCCCCAGCTTCAGTGATTACTTACGCATAGCTCATCTTATTTAACTTAAACCTCCACCAATGATGCTTGCTCCACAGGGTTCTTATGAAGAAAATTTCAAATATATAATTTTATTAACAAGTACTTCAACATAAAAGATAATGGTTCTTTTTATTATTTATTCATTGATTAAAGGTGTGTGCCATCACGCCCGGCTTTTTTATTTTATTTATTTATTTTTTGAGACAGGGTCTCCCTATATCCCCAGCTGTCCTGGAACTCACTATGTAGACTAGGCTGGTCTTGAACTCACAGAGATCTTCCTGCCTCTGCCTCCTGAGTGCTGGGATTAAAGGCTTGTGCCACCACACCCAGCTAAGGATTCTTTTTATAGGCTGGCGCTCTCTCTCTCTCTGTCTCTCTCTCTCTCTATTTATTTTGAGGCAGGGTCTTACTGTATAACTCAGGCTTGCCTTGAGCTCACTAGGTAGCCCAGCTGGCCTCAAACTCATGATTCTCCTGCCACTGCCTCCAAGTGCTGGGATTACAGGTATGTGCTACCACATCCAGCTCTTTTATAGAAGTTTGGAACAAGTAAAAATCCAGCTTAGACCCACGTACTACATTTAGTTGATAAACCCATTTGAACCTCTTACAGTGGTTCTCAAGAGGACGGTAGTGCAGAGATTTTGCTCCATAGGGGACTTTGGTGGTATCTGGAGAGGTTTTTATTGTCCGAGCTGCAAATACACTTGCATTAAGTGGGTGGAGGCCATGGATGCTACTCAACATACTGCAATTCAGAGTAGCCTCCATGACAAACAAGTGGCTGTCTCAAAATGTCAGTAGTATTAAGTCTGGATAACTGTAATCTATTCCCTCTACCTTTTATCCTTGCAATATACCTACTGAGTAAGCCAGGTTATTTGTCATGCAGTCTTTCCCTATCTAGATTTGTTTTTTGCATCTCCTCAAATGTCATTTATTATAATGTTCTGTCTTTTACATTTCCTTTAACTCTATCTATGTATGTGTGTATTGCCTGCATGTAGGTAAGTGCACCCGTGTTGTGCAATGCCTGCGGAGGTCACAAGAGGCTGTCGGATCCCCTGGAACTGGAGTTACAGACAGTTGTTAGCTGCCATGTGGGTGCTGGGATTCGAACCCGAGTCTTCTGCAAGAACAGTGTTCTTAACTGCTAAGCCATCTTTCCAGCCCCTTGATTTTATTTTGTAAGAATACCTCATGGTTGGTAATGGTGTACTACTTATTTGCCACATCAAGAAACACATCAGGGCTGAGCAGATGGCTCAGTGGCTAAGAGCAGTGGCTTCTCCTACAGAGGACCTGGGTTTGGTTCCCAACACCCACATGGCAGCTAACAGCTGTCTGTAACTACAGTTCCAGGGGATCCAACATCCTCTTCTGCCCTCTGTTGGCACTACACACACAAGGTACACTTACATACATGCAGGCAAAACACTCATAGACATAAAATTTTTAAAGTAATAATAATAAAAAAGAAACACCATGTCACCAACTGGATATCTGTTTTCATGATCACTGGGTTTAGACACTGCCCCTGTTCAAGTTCCCCCTTAGCTTTTTGACTGGTGGTCTGGCAACCATTGTTTCTTTGAAGTGAAGTCCTTATAGGAAAGAATGGATAAGTGTTTGATTCTTTCCTTTTATCCTTCACTCTTCAGCAAGGAATTAGTTTCCCTAGCATCCTCTAAAGGTGAACACTGATGGGTTTGGTGGCTGTTAAATTTTAATGTTCCAAAGGTGAGCATGGTGGCACTTGTCTATAATTCCAGAGCTTAGGAAGTTAAAGCAGGAGAATTAGGAGTTCAAGTCTATCCTTGGCTACATAGTGAGTTTGAGACCAGCCCGGGCTGCATGAGTCCCTGCCTCAAGCAAAAAAACACTGGATTCTTGTGGATTTTATCAATGAACAGGTCCATGCTGAGCACTTTTTATATGCAAGGCATTGAGCTTGACTTTGGAGAGCTCTTCTTACAGAAACCTGGACCTCCTATAATCTTAGAGGCCTGCAGTTTGGGGAATCTCAGCTCCCAGTAGGGACTCCCATCCCATTTGTGGGCACAGCTTTGGTTTACTATTGAGTTTGCATGCTCCTGGGCTCTCACAGCTCCAAAGAGCTGTGGTAGGTGCTCAGACAAGGTGCCCACCGGCAAAATCTGGCCTGGCTTCACCCTCAGTACCAGTATCTCACTGGTGCTGAATGGTCAGGATGGAGCTTAGCAGGATGCAGTTTCTGACTCTGCTGATCTGATGAGGGTAATCAGAAACAAGACAGTTTTTCTGTCTGGTTTTCTTATGCTGTAGTTAATTTCCATTTATTCAATATGTATTTCTTGAGCAACTGTTGTGTGCCCAGCCCTGTGCTAGGTCCTAGAACACAAAAGAGAGCAAAAATAGTGTGGTGCTTCCTTTCAGCAAGACATTTATCAAATAATCACACAGATGAATATAATATGGTGACCACAAGGGTGCATTTGAGGATTCCATTGCATTGGTAATGAACTTATGTGTACTCTCTCTGTCCCCAGGAAGCTTTGAGGTGTGTCCAAGCCCACGCATCATCCCCCCGTCCCCAACCTGTGCAGAGAAGGAGCTACCCTGGAAGAGTGGGCAGGGAGACCTGGCTGTGTATGTGTCCTCAGAAACCACCAAGATTGTGCCCGTGGACATGCAGACGGGCTGGAACCAGAGCATCTCATCCCTGGAGAGCCTGGCATCCCCTCCCTGTACCCAGGCTCCCACTTTGACCTGCCTGCCTCCCCACCCACTGGGCATTGAAGAACCCCAGGTCCCTCTTGATCTGTCTGCTGACCCTCGCTCTAGCTTTGCCTTCCCCCCAAGCTTGGCCAAAGCTGGCCGCTCTCGCAGTGAGAGTAGTGCTGACCTCCCCCAACAGCAGGAGCTGCAGCCCCTCATGGGCCACAAGGACCATACTCATCTTAGTCCAGGCACTGCCAACTCCCACTGGTGTATCCAGTTCAACAGAGGAGGCCGGCTGTAGCCCAGGGCCTTGGGGAAGAGCACGATGTGGTGCCCCTGTGGGGAGTATTCCTCAGACAACCAGCAGAGGAGCCTACTCAGCCTGGTATGGGGCCAGCGGGGCCTAGACCGAAGTGGCAACTGGGCCTCCTTGGAGCTGGTTGGAAGGGTTTCCTGAGCTGGTCCTCACAGGGGCCCTTCTCACTACCCTCCCTGCTCTTATCCCCTTCCACACTTCATTTCAAAACTGGCTCAGGATCCAGTCCAGAGTCCTAGGGGTAAGGCCCACAAGCTGATGCTCCTTCCCTAGGGCATCTTCCTGGACTCACTGTTGGCAGCTGTTTCTGCCCCCAAAGCAAGGGCATCATTCCTCAGTGGATGCTGGTCTTCCCTGTCCTCTATCCCCTCCCCAGCACCATGTCAGTGCCAGTGTCTTGGAAGTGAAGCTTTTGAGGGGCTGGTCCTCAGAGTGATTGGAGCAGGCCTCAATCTTGGGCTTGGCTAACGTTGAATAGTGGGAGTCTGCCTCCACATCTTGCTTTAGCCTTTTCCCTTTGCTGCCAGATATTGGGGTAATGGTGCCTCCTTTTATAGGACCTAGGCCCTGAGCCAGGCTCTAGTTGAGGGCTGTTTCTTAGCCAGTCTGTTTCTCTAGGTCTAAGTCTGGGACTTTCTGATGTGTGGATCTGAGTTTTCTGAGGAGGAGACAAAGTGGCCCCTGGGCTCTCATGTCACCACCTCAAAATTCCCCAAACAGAAAAGGAACTAGGTATCCCAGAGCCACAGCACCACTGCTGTGAGGGCTGGGGTGCTGGGCTACAGTGCTGGGGGGCAGCTAACTGAGTAGCAGGTGGCTTTCCTGGGGTTAGCCCCTGCCTTGTGTTTTGTACCTTGGACCCAAGATACATTAAACACCTCTCAGATGGATGAGTGTCCTTTGTCCATTTGTCTGGGGGCTTCAGGGCAAGAAGGCATTTGCCTGCTCCAGGGCTTCCGGGAACAGTGGCTGTTAGTTTCTCCTGTCCTCTCCAGTACTTTTCCAATATCGTCCTCTTAGGGAGCATGGTGTCGCAATCTAGGGGATCACTCTATGGGCTGGGGAGGGGGCTATTTCAGAACTGGGAATCTATAAAACGAGAAACGCTAGCAAGGAGAGAAACCCCCAGAGGTCAAGGTCTAAGTTGCCTAAAGATCAAGCCAGTATATGTAGAGCCACAGAAACATTTCCAGAAAACTTAAGATAGTTGTGAGCAAATGAACAAAAGTGTCTTTCTGTATATGACAGGTGGGAGGCAATCTCAAGGGACTTGGTTACTTTGAGTGTTTATGAGACATCAAGACAGTGTGGGTCCAGAAACCTCTAGATAACAGTACTTTCCAAATCCAATTCCCATTGTGGCTGAAGAATTTTTAAAAAAGCATCTTTGAGATAAAATACCATAAAATTCACTTGTTTAAAATGTACAGTTAAGGGTTTTTAATATATTCATATAGCTGTGCAACTCTCACCATAATATAAGAATAGAACATTTTCATTATCTCCCCCTGAAGTCCTGTACTCATGAGCAGTCACGCCTCACCCCACCCACTCCATAGCCCTAAATAATCACTAGCCTAATCTCCATGTCTCTGGGTCTGAGGACCTTGGAACACTTCAAAAGCCTGCAAACTTGGTTGACTTTTACTTTTTCTCTGCCATATATGGGGAAAAGGTGAGGGTATCTCAGGTAAACCTTAACCTTGCCTTCAAGTTGCTAACAGCTGGCAGTGATAAGGACCTGGTAGTAAACAATTAATCTGGACTCAGTCTCAGCTGTTATTTGCTATATCATCTTGGACATGATACATAATCTCTGAGCCTTAGTTTTCTCATCTCTAAAATGGGATAACAATCATACTTCATAATGTTGCTGCCTGGATTAATAATAAAATGGGGAGTGATTGTCCATACCCAGACTGGGTGGTAAGGAATCATACATATTTGCATTCATTCAGGTCATATTACAAAGCAGAGGTACATGAAGAGTGTTTTGGGACCTTGAGATCTGGGAGGGAGAAGGGAGGAAAGGGAGAAAGAAGTTATTTGGAAGCTCGGGTAGTGAGTGGATTTGTAGGAAGAAACGTGAGAGATGGAAGGGCTTTGGGGGGGCTACTCTAGCAGCTCAGAGTAGGTAAAGAAGATGGAACAGGCAGCCGTTCCAACACTTTTTGGTGTTGGGATAACTGGGGAGCTTGTCAATCATACAAATTCCTGGGCCTACCCCAAGTTTTTGTTTTTGCTTTTGCTTTGAGACATCTCACTATGTTAGCCCTGGCTGGCCTGGAACTCAATATACAGACCAGGCTGGCCTCAAACTCACAGAGATCTGCTTGCCTTTACCTCCCTGAGTGCTGGTATTCAAGGCATGCATCACCATGTCTAGCTAGCCCAAGGGTTTTGATTCAGCAGATCTATGGAGGTTCAAAGGGCTGGTGAACACAGCTTTCGGGGGTTGGGAAGGCAGGCAGATGTCTGCTCTATAGGAGAGCAAGTAAGTCAAGAGCTTGTCCACATTTGGCCACCTGGCTGGGCAAAATGGCAGGACAATGGTCACACTACCTGGGATGAACGGAGAGAGCTGATGAAGGAAGAAATGCTATATCCAGGCCTTGAAGGAGGGTGTCTGTGTGAGACGAGAGAGGAGAGAGGAGAGAGAGAGAGAGAGAGAGAGAGAGAGAGAGAGAGAGAGAGAGAACCTCGGGTGGTGTTCTTTAGAAGCCATCTACTTGAGACAGGTGTCTCACTGGCCTGAGATCACTAAGTAGGTGAGGTTGGCTGGCCAGTGAGCCCCAGGGATCTGCCTGTCTCTGCCTCCTCAGCACTGATAATCTCAAGTGTGTACCACCATATCTAGCACATTATCGACTGAACTCTCTCTCCAGGCTCCTCCTCCCACTATGCTTTAGTAAAAATAAAATGATGATGATGATGATGATGATGATGATGATGATGACAATGACAGAGTCTTGCTATAAACTTCTGTCTGGCCTGGAACTTTCTAACTCTGTGTGTAGATCAAGTTGGCCTAAAACACAGTGATACTCCAACCTCTGCCTCCTCATTGCAGAGATTACGGGCATGTACAACCATACCTGGCTAAGAGGAAGGATTTTAATTATGATGAGGGCCTTCCAGTCAGAGAAGACAGTATGTATGTGCCAGGAGACTTGTAGTCAGCTGTTTCTGAGGCTAGTCTCTGACCTGGGTAAAAAGGTTGTGATGCTTTCGGATGGCCTTGAATGCCATACCAAGGAGCCTGGGCTCCATTTAAGTCAAAGATGAGAGAGGTCTGGAAGGTTTGGGGCACTGGCTGTCTTTGCTGCTTGGGGTAGTGCTAAAGAAGAGTGTGGCAAGCTTAAGGTTGCATGGGGCAAATAAATAGCTGTTGGTCTCTTATTTCCAAGCCTAATGAAGCCCAGAGACATTTTATTTTTGACTGATTCATGTTGGCAAGGAGGGAGAGGCTGAGGGAAGGTTAGGAAAGGGGCAGGGGAGGGAGGCCTATCCACATTCTATGATGTCAGTGGAAAAGGCCACTCTGAGTAGATTCAGCTGCCAGCAGAGTCAGAGATGGGCTCCATGAGTCACTGCTCAGTCTTGCAAGCTCAGCCCACAGAGCCTGCTGTGGTCAGCCACCCCAAGCTGGCTCCAGGCCCAGCCCCCCAATGTTCCTCACTAGGCCAGTGTCTGTCCCTGTTTCTCTCTGTGCCTTTACCATCCCAGATTTGTGTATCCTGCAGCTCCCCGTTTCTCCTCTCTCTCCCTTTTAGGCTTAGCCTCTGAATCTGCCTCTATCAATGACTCTGACTTCTATGTGGCTCACGGATGGGGAGCAGGGGCAGTGTGATCAGTCTCAGACACCCCTAAACATTAATTCTGTGCCAGGACTGATGTGCAGAGCTGGAAGTATGAAAGTGGACAACATACATTCTGCTTACAAGGCACATTCTACGTGGAAAGGGAAAACCACAGCCTAGGCCTGCCTCTATCTCGGCATGCGTGCACCCTCTCCTAACTGCCTGCTGAGCTCAGAGGGCCAAGCTAGGTCCAAGTTAGGACCTGTGACTTGATGCCTCTTCTTTGCCTCTGGCACTGGGAGGGTATATGCGCCTGCTAGGAGTCTTTCTTAGGGCTCCAAGGAGCCTGGCTGGTGGGTGGGGTGGGCAGCAGAGAAGAGGGAGGGAGAGGTAGTGAGTCAGGGGGGGTGGCCTGGGACAGAACGGAGTTAGGAAGCCAAGGTTGGACCCAATGCTCACAGAGGCTAGAGAAGGGAGGGGATAAAGACATGGCTGGGGGCTGGGGCTAGAGAAGGACAACTTCAAGGCCAGTCCTGACCTTTGCTCCTCCTCAATATCTGCCTTAGAGTCTGAGATGGGTAGCAGTACTGCTTGCTCCCATTGTGGCTGCAGCTATGTCCAGGGTCCTGAAGGAAGTGCCATCTTAGGGCCAGAGAAGGCATTATGCTCACTGTCCTCTCCTCACAGGGACCAAGGACACTTGTAAGGGCTAGGTGCCTTTTTCTGGTCACAGAGCTAACTTTCCTATAATTTCCTCACAAATTTGGAAGAGCGTCAGGCTGGACCCACATATTCCAAAAGGCCTTAAAACCTCAAGGCTGAGTGTTAGGCATGATCTCCCAGCTATTCAAGCACCTTTCATCAGTTCAAGGTCCCCTGGCTAAGGGTGAACTGAGAGGGCCAGGCATGAACACAAGACATCTGACACATCAGGTTTTCCCCAGTCCATCTGGCAATTCCGGGACAAAAGAATGACTTTCCTGTTTTACAGGTCAGGAAGATGAGGTGCAAAGAGAAGAGAATCTCTGGAACTCCGTACAGCAGGTGAGTGATGGAACCATGTCCCAGCTAGTCTCTCTGTCTCCAGGACCCCAGCTTCCTTAGCTGTACTTTTCTGGGGGCCAGGAAAGAGATTCCAGAGAACTTAAGGAGATGTAGGGTCTGGGCCTGGTGGGTTCTCCCAGTCCTGGGTCAAACTCTCACCCAGAGGCCTCACTGCCACGTCCACCTCCCACCCCAGCCAGCAGCACTATTCAGTCATAGGATCACACACCCAGTCTCTGGAAACTCGATAACGGTGTTTTTGTTTGTTTTATTCATTGAACCCTCCTACAAGCCAGGCAAGGGCTGTACCACTGAGTTACACCCCACATAATATGTTTTGTGGTGTGTGTAGGCCTGGGGACCTGAAGGAGAGATGGGGATCCCTCCCACTCTCCATGAAGATACTCCACAAGCAGCTGCTTTGGGCTTAAGGAGTCTCTTTCTTGGGCGTCTCCTGGAACCCTGGGTACACATATGTCTCCTTTGGGCCATACTTGGGGGGGAGGGTGAGCAAAGAGTGGTCCCTGTTTTTCAGGGAGGTGGGGGAGCTGGTGAGGGATGCCTATGTCCCAGCAGGAGGCTGGTGAGGCACCTTGCTCTCCCTCCCACAAGGACTTCCTCTGATGGATGCGAGAGTCACCTCTCCATCTCTGGCTGGCCCGCAGCTCACTCACCCTTTCAGGCATCTTTTCAGCCTCTGGGCAGGTCGGGTAGCGGGCACAGTGAACGGCCTATGAGCGCCGCTGCGATTGGCTCACCGAGACTTGGAGAGAGGGCGCGCCGCGTCCCCGGGGCTCTGGGAGTGGGAACTGACCCGTGGGGCCAGGCCACTGCACGGCTTGGATCCGCACGCTCGCGCAGTCGGGACCTACCAGCTAAGCTGTGATTCCGTCCTCCAGCCCCTAGAGGGCGAAGCGGCGCCGCGGCCCCGGTCGCCCTGAGCTCCCTCCCACCGCCAGAAGGCGGCGCTCTTGGACGCTGGGCGGCCGCGCTGTACCCACCGTCGAGGCTGCGTGCGTGAGTTCCTTCGAGAGCTCTGGCCAGACCTCTCGGTCTTCACAGTTGACCGCACCGAGCCCCAGGGGTGTGAGTGCAGGTGACCCAGAAGGGAGGGGCGCTCTGGGCTGGGCAGCTAGGCCAGGGCTGGGCTGGGCGGGCTGGAGTGGAGCAATAGGCCGCCCTGCGCACGTGGGCTGTTAAGCCTGGCGTGAGGGCGTGTCGCAAGGTAGGGCCCACTGGGCAAAGGCTCACGGGAACGCGACCCCGGGGCGTACGCATAAGGGAGGCTTGGCCGTTTTTCCCTCACCAGGCATGGAGTCCTGCTAGAGCATCTTCAACCCAGTTCCTGGATGAGCTGAAGTCGCCTTTTACTCCAAGGCCCAGCACCTCACTCACTTGCCCAGAGCAGGCCCACTCTTCCCGGGAAGTGATGGAAGGGCCTGTTGAGGATGGGGATGTATCTCTAGACTCCCAGGCCCTGGCCACCGACTGGAGGTTTGCTGTATGCAGCTTCAGAGATGCATGGGAAGAGGAAGAACCTGCTCCCCCGATACAGGTTAAGGACCCCAGTCCTGCAAGACCAGCAACAGGGGCAGTGGAAGACAAAGGGCTTCAGGGAAGCCCCTTGTTCCGGGATCTTCAGTCACTTCCAGAACCAAGAGCTGCAGATGGGTCAGGGGACAGCCAAAGGATCACATTAGAAAGCTCCTCAGCCCAATCACAGGAGCCTGCCCTCTCTATAGTGGAGAACCTCTTATATCCCATGTCCTCCCACCTCAGCCTGGCACAGGGTGAGAATTCCAAACTAGAGGGAGGTTTGATAGGGGACCCAGGTGCAGGCAGGGCATTGCCAGCTGGCTTTGGCCCTGAGGGGTTGGACAGCAACCCTGTGGACCTTGGAGACCCTTTATCAGAGTCATCATCAAATCTACCAGAGGCAGGTAAGGAAGGCTGGGCTAGGGAAATCTGGGAAGGGAGGTGGAGGTGGGCACTGAGATTTTAGGAGGTCTTTGACTCTACTGAAACCCTGGTCCATGGAGGGGTCTTTGGGTGGGTGACCCAATTCAGACCCAAGCCATTTTCCTTCCTAAGACCCCAGTGGATCCAGCTTCCTTAAGCCTGCTGACTGCCTCCTGGCCCAAGACCTCACCTGGGAGCTGCTGGCCAGTGGCATGGCTGCCTTACCAGGTAGCTGGGAGGACTAAGACATGGTGAAAGAAGGGCAACCCAATTGTGTCAGTATTCATCTTCTCCTCCCCACAGGGACTCATGATGTAGAAGGCCGGGCAGTGCTGCTTCTGTGTGCCCACAGCCCAGCTTGGTCTCATCCCAAGTGCAACAGCCATGAACTTCTGAGCCTTTTGCTGTACCTACGTGGCATCCCCAGGTTTGAGAGAGGAAGTTGGGAGGCTGAGCCAGGATCTGTGAATCATGTATTAACATGAAGTCCACTTTTCAGGCCCGAAGTACAGGCACTGGGACTGACCATACTAGTTGATGCCAGAATTTGTTCCCCAAGCTCTTCCCTCTTCTATGGTCTTAGCCAACTGCAAGTGAGTAAAGGATTGTAGCTCCCTTCTGTTCCTTTCGTGTCTAGTCAGGAGTAGGCTGAGCTTTTATTCTTTGCAGGAAGCAGCCCCAGGGTCTGTGCAACAGGTGCTGCTAGTTGGAAACATGCCAGAGGAGATGCCCACAAGGCTTCAGGTACTGAACCAAGTTGGCTAGGATGGCTAGGTAGGGGTCTTTCTCCACCCAGTCCTGCATCATGACACCTTCTTCTGCAGCTCAAACAGCTGCCCTCTCATCAGAGCCTACTGACCCACATTCCCACCTCAGAGTTGCCCACTTCGCTAGGAGGATGCCTGCCTTACTGCCACCAAACCTGGCTGGATTTCCGGATGGTCAGTGCACCAGATGGGGTTGGGGGATTATGCAGGCAACCTGGACTTGTGGGGGAAGCCTCTCCTGGGTCAGCTTGAATAGGGTGAAGCTGGCTACAGTCGTCTGGAACCCAGGAGGCTGAGACTAGCCCTGTACATTGGTTCTGCTTTTGTCTATCCATAGCGTCTGGAAACCCTACAACAGCATTGCCAGGTGGTTTGTACCCTGCTCCAGAAGGCCATTGACAGTGTGAAGGCTGTGCCTCAGCCCATGGAGTCTGGAGTGAGTGTCCTCTCCCAAGTCTCCTTGAATGTTCCCTTGACCCTTTTTCTCTCACATATTCACCAATGCCCATTGCTCACAATAACAGGAAGCTGGTCAGATGCTACAGCAGGCACATTTCCTCATGCAGCAGGTGTTAGATTCACCACAGCTGGCCTGGCTACAGAGTCAGGGAAGCCTAGAGCTGGTGAGGTTGAAGCAAGGAATATCAGAGAGCCCTGATTACAGGTAGGTACAAGCCCAGATCCCAGATTTTACCCCAGTTCAGCCCACTGTATCTGTACATACCAGGGTTATGAGTACCAGGATGGCAGAGTGGAGAAAGGGGACTGTCAGAGTACAAGGTAAAATTGTATATCCTTCAAAGGTCTGCAGTGGATAAGGCTGATGAACTGTATGGCCAAGTGGATGGACTGCTGCACCAGCTGACCCTGCAGAGCAACCAGCAAGTAGAGACCCTAGAACTGCTCCAAACTCTGGAAGCCCAGGAAGGTGGACTACACCAGGTGGGAACTTATCCAAAGTGGGTTCTGCTCCTGGTCTTAGGTATGACCCCACTACACCACAGGTTTTTTTTTGCTTTCCCTTCCTTGTGTCCATCTAGATTGAAGTGTGGCTACAGGAGGTGGGCTGGCCAGCACTGGAAGAGCCAAAGGAACCCTCACTGGACATGCTGCTCCAGGCCCAAGGCTCCTTTCAAGAGCTGGACCAGGTTGCCCAGGTAAGTTTGGAACACCTTGCCAGGGACTAGGATTGTGGAATGAGGGAAGGCAGACAATACCTTGCTCTCTTAGAAACTACCATTTAGCAGAGATCAGTTGTAATTAGAGGTTTACAGTCATATGTATTTGCAGAGATAAGAACTATGGAGAGAAGCAGCATGGAAGAATAATTTGGGTTCAATCATGCAGAAAAGATTTAGGGATTGAAAGCCAACCAAGACTAGGAAACAGCATGTTCAAAGGTCCTATGGCAGGAGAGGAGCATGAGATAAAGTGAGATACATCTGGAAGACTGATTAGAGGTCAGATCCCTGGGCCTTATACCAGTGAAGAGTTGAAGTGAGAAAATTAATTTTTAAAAATGTATTTAAACTGTTTGTGTGTATGTGTGTGGGGGGCATATATGTGTCACAGTGCACTAGTCAAGGTCAAAGGACAACTTTGTAAAGTCGGTTCTCTCTTCCAACCTTGATGTGGGTTCCAGAGAGGAACTCAGGGTGTCAGGTTTATTGGCAAGTGACTTTGCCTTCTGAGCCATCTCTGGCCCTTAAGTGAGAAAATTCTATAATCAGATTCATATTCTAGGAAGATGACCTTAGTTTCTGGGTAGATAATCACTTGGAGAATGGATGTGGGAAAGCCAGTGAAGAGGTAGTTGCAGTACTCCAGGTGTGAAATACATTTGTGTCTAGGCATCTGTGTAGGATTGGTTCCAGTACATGCCTTAGATACCTAAATCTGAAGATGCTTAAGTCCCTTATGTAAAATGGCATAGTATTTGGATATAGCCTATATGTATATATTTTGTACTTTAAGTATAATATCTAGATTAACTTTACTTGGCATGATGTGCATGCTATGTAAATAGTTGTTATACTGTTTGGGGAATAATAAAAAGAGTCTGTATATTTCAGTATAGGTGAAGTTTTTCCCTCACATATTTTGAATGAAAAGTTAGTTAAATCCATGGATGTAGAACACACAGATATAGAACCTGTAGATACAGAGGGCCAACTGTAATGCTTTCTCTGGCTAGGATGGTAGTAGGGAAGTGAATCTGAAAAGTCTGTAGGACTTGATAGTACATCCATATGAGAGAGTGAGGGAGAGGACAGTTGGAAGCATAGAGTAGGTACTATCCCTGAGAGAACTGAGGAAATAAGGACATTTGGGGAAGGGCCTTCATGTGTCCAGTCTTAGTTGTGCTTTTAAGATGAGCATCAGGGAATGAAGGGCTTGGGTACTGGCCTAGAGTCTGGCTGGAGAGAATAACTCGTTGGGTACGCAGGTATGGGTGATGTTTGGGGTTTGATCACATAAGATTATTTCAGGGAGAGAATGCACTGTTCTCAGGAGCCCAGGTGAGGAAAAGAGAGCAGGAAGAACCATAGAGCAGGATAAGGAGGAGATAGAGCCCCAGGAGAGAGAGGGCTGAGTACAGCTGAGATAGTCAGAAGGCCTGAGAGAGGGGGAAGTCTGTCTTGGAGACATGATAGATGCCAGTGGGAAGGGTCTGAGTTTCAGCTGGGTCACCAGGCCTAGCCAGCTGAGTCTAGTCTGTCTCTCCAGGAGCAGATCAGGCAAGGGGAGAAGTTTCTGCAGCCACTGGTTGGCTGGGAGGCTGCTGAACTGGGTCCCCATGGGAAGCGGTTTTTGGCCCTGAGAACCCAGCTGACAGAATTCTCCAAGGCTTTGGCCCAGCGGCGCCAGCGATTGGCAGATGCTGAGAAGCTGTTTCAGTTCTTCAAGCAGGTGGTTGAGGGAATTCTGTTCCTGGCTCTGTGGGGTTCAAAGCAGTGGCTGCCCAAGATCCACTATAATCTGAGCTCTTCTTGCTTGTCCCGCCTATTCTTGTCCCTTGCCTTCAATCTGACCTCAAAACCAACCACTGGGGTTGTAACCTGGGACCAGCCTCCCTGGGGCCAGCCAGTGGGTGGGACAGAGCAGCAGAACGTATTGCTGGCATGCTGGGGTCCTGCTCTCATGCCTGTGTGGCCTTGGTGTTGTAGGCTTCAACATGGGCTGAGGAGGGGCAGCGGGTACTGACAGAACTGGAGCAGGAGTGCCCAGGGGTTGTACAGCAGCGGCTGCAGCTGCACTGGACTAGGCACCCAGATTTACCTCCTGCCCACTTCCGGAAAATGTGGGCTCTGGCCACAGGCTTGGGTTCAGAAGGCATCCGCCAGGAATGTCGTTGGGCCTGGGCACAGTGCCAGGACACCTGGTTGGCCCTGGACCAGAAGCTAGAGACTACACTGAAGCCACCACCACCAAACACAGCTACCTTGTGTGTCAGCCGGGCCCCTGCCGTACCCACCGTCCCTCCAATGAGAAAGGCCCACAGCGTTGATCGGAATCTGGGGCATCTTGGTGAGATTGCCCATCGCAGCCACTGTGCTGCCATCATTGCTGACTGCCACAGACCCAAGGTTGGAGGAGGTGCCCAGCCCAGGTCATCCTTTTCTATGCCTCTGCCAGGCAGCTCTGACCTCAGGAGCCCCAACAGGTACAGGCAGTGGGCAGGGAAGGGAAGTCAGTGGAGGGTAGATGTCTTGGGGTCCTGACTCTACCTCCCTCATAGGCTACAGCTGGTATTGGCAGAGATGGTGGCCACAGAGCGTGAGTATGTCCGAGCCCTTGACTATACCATGGAGAATTACTTCCCCGAGCTAGATCGACCTGATGTGCCCCAGGGCCTTCGTGGCCAGAGTGCCCAGCTCTTTGGCAACCTTGAGAAACTTCGGGACTTCCACTGCCATTTCTTCCTGCGTGAGCTAGAGGCTTGCACCCGGCATCCACCCCGAGTGGCTTATGCCTTCCTGCGCCACGTAAGCCCCATAGGAAACATGAGCCCAGCTGGTAGCCACACACCGCAGAGCTGTTGGACACATGCTTGGTGCCAGGCCCTATGCTGGATACAGCTATGAGTGAAACACACAGTCTCTGCATCTTAGGGTGTTTTTAGTTGAGTATGAGAGGATGAACAAACAAAAAAGACCATTCTAGATTACACTTTAGGATGGGAAGAAAATAAGCAGCATAGTTGTCTATGAATTACAATTGGGGCGGAGTTCCCACTTGAGAGAAGCAGATGTTTGAGTGGAGGCCAGAGGAAAAGTAGTGAGTTCCACCTCAGGAAAGAGACCTGGTGGACTACATGAGCATAGCTGAGTGTGGTGAGTGCCGCAGTGATGTTCTCAGAGCCCTGGGAGGGACAGAGCTGAATGCGGAGGCTGTCTGAGCCCGGGTGCAGCAGGGAGTACTTCTTCCGACAGAGCCTAGACAAACCTTCTCTGCACAGCACTGGTTCTTGCTAGATTGCCCTCATTCAAGTGGGATCAGCAGGGGTGGGGAGCACCCCTGAGCTACCTGTTGGCTTTTTTGTCCTCTCAAGCTAAGAGTTATGTGGATAAGGTTGGAGATAGCTTTTGGGAACCAGCCATCTAACACCTGGGCTAAGCTGTCTATTCTTGTAGAGGGTGCAGTTTGGGATGTATGCGCTCTACAGCAAGAACAAACCTCGCTCTGATTCCCTGATGAGCAGCTATGGTCACACCTTCTTCAAGGTAGGCAAACTCGAGACTGTAGGAAGAACAGGGGCACAGGTGGCATGCTCTAAACCTCTTTATGGCCTCCACTTATCTGGCAGAACAAGCAGCAAGCACTGGGAGACCACCTGGACTTGGCCTCCTACTTGCTAAAGCCCATCCAGCGCATGAGCAAATATGCCTTACTGCTGCAGGAGCTGACAAGGGCCTGTGGGGGCCCAGCACAAGAGCTGGGTGCCCTACAGGCAGCCCAGAGCCTTGTGCACTTTCAGTTGCGACATGGCAATGACCTCCTAGCCATGGATGCCATCCAGGGCTGTGATGTGAGTTATCCTAGGCCATGGTGGGGAGGCACTGTGGATGCAGAAGAGGAAGGCAGGAGAGGCTGGCCATCTACTGGACTTCAACTTTGCAGGTTAACCTCAAAGAACAGGGGCAGTTGGTAAGACAAGATGAGTTCACAGTGCGTGCTGGGCGCCACAAATCCCTTCGTCGTGTTTTCCTGTTTGAGGAGCTGCTGCTTTTCAGCAAGCCTCGCCGTGGGCCTGCAGGTGTTGACATATTTACCTACAAGCATTCCTTTAAGGTAGGCCCATGTGACCCTGGCCTCTGCCCCTGTCTCCCACCTATGCCACTAAGCCCCTTTCCTCTGACTATGTAGATGGCAGACCTTGGCCTCACTGAGTCCTGTGGGGAAAGCAAACTGCGCTTCGAGATCTGGTTCCGTCGTCGCAAGGCCAGGGACACTTTTGTGCTGCAGGCCTCCAACTTGGCCACCAAACAGGCCTGGACAGCTGATATCTCCTGCCTGCTTTGGAGGCAGGCTGTCCACAACAAGGGTAAGTCCCTGTACAAGCCCTTACTTTAGCTTATCCTTTCTTTCCCAGAGAGTTTGTGTTTCCCTATGAGCTTGGGAAGGGTCTAGAAGCCTAGAAAAGCTTGTATGTTAACCTCTCACCCTCCCCTGCCCCCAGATAGTATGTATTCTCTAGGATCTTGGGAAGAGTCTAGGGACCCAGAAAAGGCTTAACTTAAGAGGGAGGAAGTACAGCAGCAGCGGTCAGTGCAGGTGGAAAGAACTTCAAAGTCAGGAAGTCCTAATATCACTGTCTGACATTGGACACAAAGTCTTCTCTGAGTATCAGGGGTCTTATGCACTAAAAGGGACAGTATGACACCTGCCCCAAGGATGGTTGGGAGGAGAGACCCTGACACTAGAAAGGATCATGGTATAGGATGATTAATTTCTGGAACATGGATATGTAGGAAAGGCTTATTAAATATGGCCCAGAGGGCCCTCACTTAAACCTATTCTCCATTCAGAGGTGCGCATGGCTGAGATGGCATCCATGGGCATGGGAAACAAGGCCTTCTGGGACATTGCTCCTAGTGAAGAAGCTATCAATGACCGAAACATCAACTATGTACTAAAGAGCCGAGGTAGTAGGCAGGCTACTGGGGGTGGGAGTAAGGAGCCCATATGGATCTGTTTTATTCCTGGCCTGTGCTTCCCTGATAATCTCAGTTGAGACTGGGCTCTGATCTGTCCCACTCTGTCCCTCTTTCTCATGCAGAAATTCGCTCTCGGGCCTCCATCGCTGTTGCCTCATTTGACTGTGACAACCCCTATCTGGGGGCCATGGGCTCCCTTCCTGGAGATCGTGCCTCTTGCTCTGTTCTGGGGTCTCTCAATCTGCACCTGTACAAAGACCCAGCTCTTCAGGGTGTTCGCTGGCCATTGTATCCACCCAACTTCCCAGAGGAAGCAGCACTGGAGGCTGAGACGGAGTTGGGCAGCCAGCCCTCTTTGAGTATGTAGGGGCTTGTTTTCAGAGGCAGGAGACCTGGCTTGGGCCTGGACCGCCCCTGCTGACAATTCACTCAATCTCCCTCCTTAGCTCCTGAGGATTCAGAGGTTTCATCCCAGTGCCCATCAGCCAGTGGCTCCAGCGGCTCTGATAGCAGCCGTGTGTCAGGGCAGGTCCTGGGCAGAGGCCTTGAGGACATGTCCTATGTAAGTGCCATCTTTTACCTTATGCCCACCAGCCCCTCCCTATCCTACCCTGGGACTATTGCTGCCTTTTCTTTAGAGGAGCTGTTAAAGGATGGGTCAGAACCATTCCCCAGAGGACCCTACCATTCACTCCCAGAACCCCAGGGAAGCAAAGCATTCATGCCTGACTTACCAACCACAGGTCTGAGCCCAAGTTCAAAGGTGAACAGTGGATCCAGCAACCAGTAATTCCATGGAACATCGCACCTCTGGATCTGCCGTAACCAGTGCATGGCTGGCACCTGGGCCACCCTTCATACCTAACATGTGAAGCCTTGTTGACTACCCTTCCTGTAACCATCAACTGACTGACCTGGGTCCTCTCCAGGGAAGTCTGGCTACAGAGTGTAAACAAAGTCCTTAATCCCAAGCCTCTAGGATTCTTCTGTCTCCTCTCCAGCCAGTGCCCCAGTTTATAAATTAAGGAAAGGCTAGGACAGAAGTTGGGTATTTCCAAACTCTAGGCTGGTAAGGCAGCATGGAAGTCTCAGAGGTCCTGAGGGACACAGGTGGGTTCCCAGCAGCTGCTTCTCAACCCCTGGCCTTAATGCTGAACTCTCCAAACACAGAGGACAGTCTGTTTCTATAGGGTCTTTATCCTTGCCTGCCTTGGTTCCTTAGCTCCAGTCCCTTGTTTTCTGGGCCAGTTGGTCATTTTGACTCGATGCTTTTTGAACAGTTTTCGGTTAGAGTTGTTTACTATTGTTTAACTGGTCATTTGGACATTGTCTTCTTAGAGAAGAAGTCTAGGCCTTCATCTTTTGATTTAACATTTTATTTGTTTATAATAAAAAACAGACTGATTTGTACCTTGGGCTGGGCACATGCATTCTGGGAATTTCCACAGTTAAAATAAGCCTTGGCAAGTGGTGATCTGTGGGACCAACATCTTGGTACCCTAGCCGTCTTGTAAATACTTGCCTAGGACTGAGTAAGAGACAGACTTAGATAGGCCCCTCTGGATGAGCAGGTCCATGCAGCGGCCATATTTCCTGGCGAAAGGCAGTGTGAGCTGCAAGGAAACACCTGTCTTATCCCTGATTTCTAGGCCAGTCGCCTGTACCAGCTCTATGTGGGGCTCCCTATCTTGGAGAAAGCCCCATTATAGGTAACTGTTGTTACTCTAGGGCTCAGTTTATTCCCAAAGTATCTCACACAGCTCTGGCTACCAGAGAACTGAGCACAAGACCAGACAGTCAAAAGTGTGCTCCCTGCTACTGATCTCCACTTTTTACCATGTAAGCTGACTTTACCTTTATAAGCAACAGACTAACCAGAGACCTACTAGTAATTGAGTAGTCATGTTTAAGGTAAATAGCATTATAATACTGCACTTGGTTATTAAAATGCCAGATTACTGAACCAGGTGTGGTGGCGCATGCCTTTAATCCCAGCACTTGGGAGGTAGAGGCAGGCGGGTCTCTGAGATTGAGGCCAGCCTGGTCTACATACTGAGTTCCAGGCCAGCTGTGCCTACAGAGAGACCCTGTCTCAAAAAGACCAAAAAACAAAAACAAAAGAAAATGCCAGATTACTAAGAAATTAGGTAAATCTTTCCATGTAATTCTGAAGTTATTTTAAGAAATCAGAAAATTAAAACCCTGATCATGCCTGACAGGTCTACAAAATGAGTTCAAGATCAGCTTGGGCAATTTATCTAGACCCTGTCTCTCAAATTTAAAACAAGAGGGTGGCTGATAGAGTACTTGCCTGGTTGCATGATGCCTAGGATTCAATCCCCAGTACTACAAAAGCAAAACAAAAAACAGGAAAAATCTAAACCTTGCTCATTCCTTTGCCCTTATTAAACTTTTTTTCCTTACAAAAAATGCTCTTTAAAAAATTCTGTAGGGATTAGAGAGATGGCTCAGTGTTTAAGAGCACTGACTGCTCTTGCACAGGACTCAGGTCTGATTCCCAGTACCCACATGGCAGCTAACAACCATCCATAACTCCAGTTCTAGGGGAATCTGATGCCCTCTTCTGACCTCCTCGGGCATTGCATGACATGGGTGCACTTAACACACATACAGACAATACATCGTACACATGAAATAAAAATGTTTTTAGAAAATGCTTTAAAGTGTCAGGCATGGTGGCACACATCTTTAATCCCAGCACTTGGGAGGCAGAGTCCCAGCACTTGGGAGGCAGAAACAGGTGAATCTTTGTGAGCCCAAGGCCAGCCTGGTCTACATAGTGAGTTCCAGGCCAGCTGGGGCTACAGGGAGACCCTGTCTCAAAGAGACCCCCCCCAAAAAAAAGTACTCTAAAGAGGACTGGGCATGGTTCATGGTGGAATATACCTTTAATCCCAGCACTTGGGAGGTGGAGGAGGCAGGCAGATAACTGAGATCGAGGCCAGCCTAAGATAGACTACATAGTAAGTTCAAGGCCCAGGCCAGCCAGGGCTAAAAAGAGCCTGTATGAAAAAAGGCTCTAAAGGAACTTAAACATAGAAATGATGACATTATAGCTAAGTAGGGGACCTGGGTGTCAGTGATCATAAAGGCCTAACTCTCATGTTCATAGGCTTGGGTTGGTATATGCTTTCTCTAGTATAGATAGGATTGTTAGTGATGAGGGCGTGATTGGTATCATTGGAGGAAAACTATAAAAACCAATTACCTAAATGTTGCTTTTTTTTTTTTTCGTCTTTTTGAGACAGGGTCTCCCTGTAGCCCCAGCTGGCCTGGAACTTCCTATGTAGATCAGGCTGGCTTCGTACTCTCAGAGATCTGCCTGCCTCTGCCTCCTAAGTGCTGGGATTAAAGGTTTGCATCACACCTGGCTGACTGTTGCTTTTAAATGAGTCTGGATTAGTTAATCTTATCCATCTTCCTCCTTGAGATGGATCAGTGGCTTAACTGGCTGCCTAGCTTTCTGGACAACACTGGCCTGGCCCTCGTACAGCAAGAGACAGTATTCATATGAACCATTCACAGAATTGCCATTCCCCACATGTGCAAGTGGGCTGCCTTACCTCTACCCAGCTGTACAGATGCTCCTGGGTGTGCCGGTCATCCTTGAAGCCAGTGATGGCCAACAAATCTACCACAAACTGCTTGGGGCTGATGTTCAGGGTCTGCCAGGAGAGCCTGCAGTCAGGCAGGGCCGTGGACAACTTCCAGCCCCTCAGTGACGTGAAAGCAGAGACTTCTCTGGGCCTAAACTCACAGGGGTCTAGGAAAGACACTTAAGTCTTGATCCAGATGAAACTGCCTGCCTTCTTGTCCCTGCCCTTCCAGCCACCCTTCTGTCCCCGACTTCCTCCCCTTGTCTTCTTTGTTACTTATTGCAGGGCCTAGGGGATACATGGAGAGGATACAGGGTACCAGGGCTTGGGGCCTGTCATACATACCCACAGCCGGTAGGCCAGGGACACCACCTTGGCTGTGATAGCTTTGGGATCCTTTTGCCTGATGGAATCCAGGATGATGTCTGTCAGGAAATGGTGGCATTTCTTTGCATAAAACATCTCTTCCCAAGACAGAGAGAAACTCAGGAAAGTCACCTCTGTGAAGGAGGTAGAGTAGATAGGGCTATAGCTGTCCACAGAGCCTTAGAGACAGCTACTAGGGAATGGAGAAGTGTAGAGCTCCCAAGGGACACTCTGAAGTACCCTGGGTGTGGACTCTGCATCTTCACAAGCAAGTACAGGGCTAGACGTGACTCCAAAGCCTCACCTCGAGGTTGGGGCCTGGCTGTGAGTAGTGTATGCCTGAGGTGGTCCATCTGGGTGGTGTAGATGATGCTGTCTTCAAAGAACATGCAGGAGCCATCACTACCCACCACAGGAGGATGAGTCACTTTCAGGATGGCCCCTGGGTTGTCCATCCCATTAGCATTAGGCAGAGGCTGCTCAGGGGCAGGATTTTCTGTGAAAACAGGAGGGGGCTCTTCTTAGGCTGAGAGCTCAAACAGAAGAGTCGACTGGTGACCAATCAGTACATTCAGTCACTCCAAATTTTCAGAGATTTTCAGCTTCTTAGAAGTGCTAACTGGGCTGATAGGGGCCTATCCTGGTCTTTCCTCTTTGCTCTAGCATTATTGCAAGCCAAATTCTGAGTTTCAGAACTCCATAAAGAACTCCAAATTCCTCTGTTAAATTAAGACTAGCATCAAATATGGCTAGTAAAAACCTAGTAGAGGACCTGGAGTCTATAAACGATAAAACGAATGGAGATTTCTGGGCTGGCCTTTCATGTTTCCTTACCCTGGAAGAATAGATGTTTGTCACTCCAAAGTGTGAAAGGCCAACTTATGACTCACAGAGTCCAAAATGGCCTCTCTAAGTAGGGCCTGAGTCACAAGAAGAGACGGTCACAGAGTACCATAGGAAGTAGTTTAAGAGAAGAGAGGAAATAGCCTAACATGGCAGTTCTCAGGACACTTCCTCAGGCTACCTCCCCAGTGCTGGCCATAAACTGTCTTTAGCCAATCCCTATAGGCCCTCATGGATGGGCCTTGGTGTCTCACAGACCATGTGTGCCTTTTCTAAAGATCTGTTTTCTCTCATTGGCCTACCACAATAGGGGCCCACCCTTTTGCTTGTAGCAAAGCTAGAAACTGGCCTCCCTTGGCCCCTCCATGTTCCTCCCCTGCCCCAGTACTCAGCTTCTTTTATCAGCCTGGAATACACCATGCCGCTGATATGATGCCTCTGTCCCGGAACAAGCTTTTGAAGCACACTGATTATCTGCTTCTCTTTAAAAATCTTTCAGGGGCTACCCATCCCTATTAAGGTCAGAACAGAGCACCACATTCTGAACTTGGCCCTTAAGACCTGGCCTATGTCTTCTCTTATAAGACTTAGGTCAAGAATGGTGTAGGACTTACCTCTCTCCTTAGGCCTCTGCTTGCCCCGGTCCTTCAGGGTGACGGCTCTTTTTGAGGGCAAGTATGGCTTAAAGGTTGGCTCTGGGCCCTTGTCTTTCACTCCAGGTCTAGCCCCGGTCTGCAGACCTATATCCTTCTCTGAGGCTATGGAGTGAGCTTTCCAGGCAGCAGCTGAGGTGCCAGGCTGGGAAGCAGCCTCACTTCCTGAGGGGACATGCAAGGTAGCATCCTCCAAGCAGCTGCTTTGGGAGGCAGTCAGTGGCTGGAATTCCCATTGCTTACAGTTGACCATATCCCATTCCCTCACCAAAGAGATGAGTTTTTGCATGGGGTTAACAGGAGTGTTTTTGGTTTCAGATTTCTGTGTGAGGTTTATTGTGGTACACTTCTTCTTGGGAGGACTCTCAGAGTGACCTCCCCAATGTCTGGGGTTGGCACACAAGCCAGAGCAGTGTGAGTGTGTGCTGGGATTGCCCCCCTTCTTGGCATTTTGGCATAGGGAGACCTGAATGGTCCGAGTGTACTGTTCAGCCTCTTCTACCTGGCTGGACCTGACCAGATTCTCTTTGGCCTTATTCCATGGAGTCCTGTCACTGCAGTCTTGGAAGTCCACAGGTATGCAGGCTGTGGTCTGGAGAGGGAGGGGCACAATAGCTATGGGCCTGCTGTACATTGTTGTCAAAGTCTCCCTAAGACCTAATAAGCTGGACTTTAAGACTTAACCTGCTTACCCAGAACAAACTTACCCTGCCATGGATCACCACTTAGGTTTTAAACCTAGTCTGAGAGGGGGGTGGTACCAGCTTAAGTGACTTATATACTCCAACAGGAGAGATTTTCAACATCCCAGGCCATAAGTGGCCAGCACATCCCTGTGCCTCCTTCAAGGTTCAAAAATCAGCTCTTATACTAGTAATTCATGTAGGCCCTGCTCTTTCACTTTACCAGCTCCCCCACTCCCCATCCCAGTAGCTGGGCATATTTCCTGAGCCCTGTACTAGTGGTCTTTAAGGACAATACCAACCAAAGACAAGTGGGGCTTACTTCCTTGGCATCTCTACTGAACTCTACTATCGACTGTGTCCCTTCAGTTACCACATGCAGCTTCCTACTGGGAAAAGCTTCCTCATTCTCAGATTCTTTCTCCTGAGTCCATAGCCTACAGAGATGAAGAGGGATTGGTTAGTGAGAAGAAGCTTCCTTCAGCCCATCAACTAATTGGTCAGCTCTGCCTACTGGCTGGGAGTTAATGGCAGTGGAGGAAAAGGGGCCCTTTAAAAGGTTTTGGTTTTCCTAGGACACTGGGTAATCGTGAGCACCCTCCCCCTCTCACACACACTCAAAAGAGAATAAGTCCCACAACTATAGAGGGAATAAGTCCCACCAGCAGGTAGGAAGATTTCTAAGAGGAATACATAACGGTCCAGGGTCCAAACATGGACTCCTGAGTGAAATTTCCTTACTTGTATGCCTCACATTGTGCAAGGGCTTTGGAGAGGGATGGAATATGATATTCTTCCACCTCCTGGCAGAAAAGAGGCCATTCCCTGCAAATGACAAGGAGATAGCAGGCTGTAGAGGGGAAGGACACAAGCGCCTAGAGAAGCTGCCTTGGACATGAATGCCCATGTTAAAAAGAATAGAACCTCCTCCCAGAAGGCTGAAAACTCATGTTTTCTTTGTCTCTGAAGGAATCAGCCTCAGTGGTTTCATTATATGATTTTCTTGCTTTGCTTACTTAAATTCAGATGGTAAGAACAGTTTTCCAAGTCTCAGGAAGTTGAGAATGTGTCGGAACATTTGGCCATCACCATGGATGAGCAAGGTCTGGCCGTAGGTGATCCAGTATACTCTCTGAGGGTTGGACAGCAGTTCTGGATACTGGGGGGGATTTGACACCAGAATCAGTTCCAAAGTCTAGGTTTTTGGTAAGAGTCATAGTCACCTCAACTCATTTTCATGACCACCTTCAAACAGATGTTTTGGGATTTCTGTCTTCCTCTACATAGGCCACAGGGAACCACAGTGGGGAGCAGAGAAGCTAAGGAGAAGTACATCACCTCTGCATCAACTTTTGGTAGCTCTTATACTCATTCCCAGGCAATTGGAACCCCACTCTATCTCATTCTTGGTCCAGACCCCTTAGGAGTGACCTCTATCCACATTCTTGAGGCCTTCCTAGCATGCTGCCCATTCCATTCCACTCACAGAATCAGAGCACTCTCAGCAGGGGAGCTGGGAAAAGGTTCTTATTCTAAGCAGTGCTAGAGACTGTGTGAGGGTCAGGTGACAAGTCCCAAAGAAGTTCAGGTGGGGAAGGCAAAGTGGGAGGAAAATAGCTGAGGTCAGCAGTACCTTCATCAGGGTCTGCAGGGTGGTTGCATACCAGTGGCTACCAACATAAACCTTGATGATCTGTTGGGGTGAGTATATGGTGATCTCTGCTGACCACTCATCTGTGGAAACCAAATGAGAGGGAAGACATATGACCAGAAAGAATATTGGCAGGACACTTTAGTCAATAGTGTTTGGTAAGTTTCCATATCCTAATCAATCATATTGTGTTGCCTATCTGAGAAGCAGAAACCTTTGACACCAGCCTGCCCTGCTGCTCACATAAAGCTTCCAAGAGAATGAGATGGCCTTGGAATGGCAGCTTTGAGAATCAGCTGGTGACTTGGGTTGGAGGAGAAGTTCCCTGGAATTCTAACTCCAAGGGCTCTGTTCCTTCACTTGGCTCACCTCCTTCAAGTAAGCTAGACTGCTGCTCCTGTCCACCCCAACTGCTAGCTCCCTCTGCTCTCGGGCTGGTAATGTCCTGGGTATGTAGCTTTTCATATGCCCACTCAGGATGGAACTAGGAGTTTCTCTGTATAGAATTAAACTGTGAAAAAAGCCAAGTGTGGTTGTACATGCCTTTAATCCCAGCACTGGGAAGGCAGAGGCAGGCAGATCTCTCTGAGTTCAAGGCCAGCCCGGTCTACAAGTGAGTTCCAGGCCATCAGGGGCTACAGGGAGACCCTGTCTCAAAAAGACCAAAAAAAAAAGTGAATTCTGGAAGGTGGAGACTACATCCATTACATCTATTCCTGTCTTGATATATGGTAGGTGCTCAGTGAACATTGAATGTTGTTGAATAATAGTAATATAGCTTAAACTTTGCCTAAAAGCTTGGTAATAAGAGTTTATTAACTGGTGAAAAATAACATTGGATTTGGACTCATTGAAACCCTAGTTTCAACATTCTACAATTTGAGCAGTTTTTCTCCCTTTGTCCCTGCACCATTCTAAATGGATTTATGGATCATTTCCCCCTGACTAGCTGTGAGAAACAAATGACACAGCTTGGGTTGACTCCTGGGGCCAAGGCAGACCTGCCCTTGGGGATCTGTACAGCCAAGACTTGGCAGCAGCAGTGTCTATAACACTGAGATGAACTGTGGACGTGAAGGCAAGAAAGGGACACGTAACACAGATGTCGTCCTAACTTTCCATCATCTTCCATCTAGAGTTCCTGGCCCTCCTTTCCTCTCTAGTCCATAGACCCTCCCTTGATGCTAATTTCAAGCCCAGAAAATTTCCCGATTTACTGAGCACATCCATGGGTGGCAAAGTCCTCGGCTCCAGATGAGTCTTCAGAGCCACTTTCATTGGCTCATAGGTGATGTCCCTCTTGTCCAGGAAGGCACAGAGCTCGTATACCTCAGAAATGGTCTCAGTCAGGGGCAGTCGGCAAGTCCCCAGCCAGTTCCTGCCCAGAGGAAAGCCCGTTTTGAAGCATCTTAGTAATTGAACACCTAAGGAGTCCAGCCTGTAAACTTCCTATGACTAGGCCATCTTGCCATCGCACTGTATCAAACCTGGCACTGATAGCACAATTACCTTGGTTTAACCTGGTGATACCTTGAAGGAGAGTAAGCCTAGACATACGTGTACCACTTTGGAACTGAGCTCAACCTATTTCAGCAAAGCCAACCAAAACAACTCATCTCAAGCCTTGAGATCCAATCTCAAATTTCAGAAGTTAGGCAAGGCTCAGCTACTTCCTGTCTCCTTATATAAATATGTGCCTGAGACTTTTATGGTATGGCAGCCTACTATGGCTTTACAAACATCCTTTGTACACCCTAAATAGAGGCTAAGGTATGAACACCAATCCTCTAGCCCAACTCTCCCCACCCCAAGGCACTTGTATTTGCCTTCTGCAGCATTATAAGTAGACACATCTGGGAGAGATAAATGATGGTATACATCTAAGGGTTCCAAAATGACACAACTAGGGTAAAGCATGTTCATGGTCCCCTTCCCCAGGGAATCAGGAAAACCAACTCCTACCTTTAGTTTTGGTACTATGAATTTTATATCCCTAAAAGAGTGAGTGTTCCACTTTTCTGAGTGCCAGTTTAACCTTCTGTGGAATAGTAGTATAATCCATGCCCTGAAATTAATATGGACATTTTGAGACCATCCCTCAAGGTAAGGAGACAGGGATTATGTCCTCCAGAAAGCCTGTCCTGCCTTGTTTCTCAGGAGCTCACTCTGGGCTCTGGAAAGCCTCCATCTAAGGCTGTAGAGAACATTTGTAAATAAAGGGGTCTGCTAGGGGTAGCCAGCACTCTGTAGCCTGGTCACCTCAGTTATAGCACAGGAGAATGGATGGCAGAAAACAGAGCTATGAAGCAGCCTGAACCTTTAAGCCATGAGGACTTTTGTAACTTGGCCCCATTCTGATTCTCAGAAGCACAAACCTGGTGGTGGTAAAGGAGGTAAAAAGGGAGCTGCAAAGATACTTTTTCCCCTTGGCTCATGGGAAAGGCTTGAGGTTTGTTTCTTGAGAAGAGAAGATCTCAGTCTGATGGAACGAAGTGGTTCCCTGAGAGGGACTGAGACTTACTTGACATGCTGGAAGAGGACCCCATTCCCTGTGATATATAGTCTGCTTCCATCCAGTGTGCTCTCAATGCGAAGCTGTCCCAGTGCAGAGTCTGGATACTTGACGAGGAGACCCAGTGCCATTATGTACAGTGGTTTCATAGACTCCAGACTGGCTGCACGCCCCCCCTTTCCAGGACTTGTGGGAGGACAGGAGGTCCGGGAGCAGCCACCTATGTTGGGGAAAAAGAGATGACTCCTAGTCATCTTTGGACATCCCTGAACTGGAGCTGTGGGTCTCAATTCTCCTGTTACTCCAGTTAGGACTTAAGTGGCCTGGAGGGAAGTTGTTTGTTTCTACAGTCCAAATCTGGATCATCTTTTTTTTTTTTGAAATAGGGTCTCACTATGTGGCCCTGGCCTGGAATTCACTATGTCGAACTCACAGAGATCTACCTGCCTCTGCCAAAATCTGGATCATCTTAACAGTATAATTTTGTGTATACTCAGTTTAGAGGTCAAAACTAGGGAGGTGAGGTGGGTGTGGGCTACATCCTTCTGGAATATCACTAACATCTGAATTTCAGGAATCTGAATATAGAAGCCATCTAGCCTCAACCTCCGCAGAACCATGCATTAGTTTCAAGCTCTCTCCTAACTATCCAAGGTCAAGATCAGCAACCACAGCTCAGAACCCAAGACCACAGGCTTTCCAGGGTTCTTCACCTCCTGGGCAGGATTTTCTCCAAGTAGTCTGTTCAGGTTGATGGATCATGGTACTTGTTCTCCTGGAGTAGGCTCAGAGTATAATACACAGAGCTTGTCAGACTCTGCTCAAGTGACAGCATTGGACCAGATGTCAAGCTGCCATGAGATTTTCAAACTATTATTTTTTTTAAGATTTTTATTTCTTTTATTTTTATGTGTATGAATATATTGTCTGCATGCATGTAAGCGTACATGTGTCATGTAATGTCTGCAGGGACAGAGAAAGCATCGAATTCTCCTGGAACTGGAGTTATGGACAGTTGTTAGCTGTCATGTGGGAACCAAACCTGGTTCCTCTGCAAGAGCAGTCAGTGCTCTTAACCACGGAGCCATCTCTCTAGCCCCTCAAATTATTTTTTGAGACAGGGCTTCACTAGGTATCCCAGGCTATCCTTGAACTTGTGATCCTCTTGCTTCAGCCTCCCGAGTGCTGGGGTTATAGGTGTGTGCTGGGGTTACAGGTATGTGCTGGGGTTACAGGTGTGTGCTGGGGCTACAGGTGTGTCCTCCTCCTGAGGAATTTTCATGGTTCATCTCCAATCTTAAGAGCAACCAGACTGGGTTCTGAGCCCCACCTGACTTTGTGGTTTAGGGCAAGGTACTTAGTACCTGTAACTGCTTGTGAGGAGCAAGTATCTGCGACACTCCTACCCATCTCACAACATCCATGCTTTCTGCAGACCAGAAGCTTTGGGGAGGGGCTGAACTCAGACTCCCATAAGTGAACTATAAGGCCCTGGAACAGGTTCCTGAGACCTGCTGCAGGATGCTACTCCCTCATATAGGAAGGGATTTCTAATGGCCGGGAAAAGGCTGAGCCTTAATTCCCATGAGACAAACAAGCAAGCCAAACTTCACATGTGTGAGGCAGTTCCTTGCTTAAAAAATTTTTTTTGGCAGCTCTGTTATTTGAAAAGTTCCTACCCAATTCTTAGAAGGCTAGCTGGGTACCCCCTGAGGGAGCTAGCCTCCTAAAACACACACAGTAGCTTCTGTGGATATGCAGGAGCTGGTGAATGAGCTGATGAAAGACAAATCAAAACTGTGAAGGAGAAACAGCTGGAATGAGGCAAAGCCAGGAGCATGAAGGTCTGGCCTGGACAGGGGTCAGGAACAGGCAGAAACAGGCACAAAAGTCAGTGGATGTGAAATGGGGAGACAAGGGAAATGGGGGGTGTGGGAAACAGTACTGGTAGAAAATATGCCCAAACATATCCTACCCTTTTTAGTTGTGTGTAGAAGAGGAAAGTTGGGAGTTGCAGGTGGTTACCCACAGCAGGACAGACCACATCTGCAGTGGAAGCATGCCCTCAGGCCCAGTCTCCTCAGGGCATTCCAACTGGTTTCCCACCCAGGCTGAGCTCCTCCTGCTCCCAGCCAAGCAGGACTCCCTTTGGCCCTGGCTGTGGTTGGGGTGCTGAGCAGAAAGGGCATAAAAGGTTTTAGGTTGAATTCCTCATCTTAGATCCTAAGTCACCCTACCACCTACTTCTCTTGCCGTCACCCAAAGCCTAAAGTGACTGTGGGAGGGAAAATGTTGGCTCTTGGTGTCTCTAGCTCAAGCCCAATCTGTTCCAGAATATCAAAGGGAAGCCAAGCTCCTGGGCAACATACCCATATTCATCCGGTACAACTGTACAGCTTCTGTAAGCTCACAGATTTCCAGGATTTCTACTTCAGCTTCCAATACATCGATGTTGGAGAAATTATCAGGTAGTAAAATCTTGTGTGAGCGGAGAAAATTCACTTGAAAAACAAGGGAAATGACATGAGTTAACAAAGCTGGTCCTGACAATTGCAGGTTCAGGTTTTAGCAGCCTTCTGGTGCTTCATCTCATGCTAGGCTCTTCTTGATCTGAAGTAATTGATAAATGTACCTCACTAGATTAGCTTGAGGCCATGGTTTTCCAAGGTGAAAGACCTCAAATTACTTTGTTTTCCTGTGTGAGTCCATGGGTGTCATCTCCCATGGCCTGCCCTGGAGCTCCCAAGCCAGGCCCCCTTTGTGAACACAATGAAGAAACTTACCCTGAGAGTCTCACCCAAGAGCAGGTCATTCCAAAGGAGGGAGTTGTTTGGGGGGGTGGGGGCTGGCAGAGCCCAGGCAAACAGGTGGCACTTCCAATTTGTCCCTACTGGATTGCAGTGTGAGAGCCAGAGATGGGACCAATGCTAAGGCCCTGAGTGAATCAACTTGGAAATTTAGAAGCATATCACAAACACCTTGCTAGGTGCCTTTGAATCTGAATGGCTGAGATCTCGAGTATTTGGGTCCATAGCATAACTTGGTGTTTACTGCCCTGTCCATTTAGATGTTTATTTACTACTATGATTGTCTAGACAGCAGTAGTAGCTTAGAATCAGAGAGGCCATTCAGTTTACAGCCTCAACAGAGCCTGTTCTGGGGCTGTGGGAGAAGGGAGGTTATGGCAGGATGAGACATCACATCCCTCCTTAACTCAAGCTGACCATTCTACATTATTCTGGGGAAATTGTCATCACTCACCTCTTTTTCTTGCACTCCAAGCAAGAGCAGGTAGGATCATTCTCTGAAACAATGCTATTTCCTTGCTATATGGTGGGAGGAGCTGAGGCCTGGAGCCCAGCTAGAGGCATAAGGGGAGGAGGGATAAGAAGAGATGCTGACCAGCAGAATCCAGCTCACTTCTCTTCCTTTTGCATCAGCTCCTGTGTCTTTTGACACTACCTTAGGGATTTTCAGTGCCATTTTATTTTATTTTATTTTATTTTATTTTATTTTATTTTATTATTTTTTGGTCTTTTTGAGACAGGGTGTCCCTGTAGCCCCAGCTGGCCTGAAACTCACTTTGTAGACCAGGGTGGCCTTGAACTCACAGAGATCCACCTGCCTCTGCCTCCTGAGTGCTGGGGCTAAAGGCATGTACAACCACACCCGGCCTTCAGTGCCCTTTTATACCTAAGCCATCCCCAAAGAAATAGGGACTAAAGTAGCTCTGAGCTAAGTGTCTGATGCTTGACTCGGCCTGCCTCTGAGAAGACTAATCATGCTTCTACCACCTCTGTTCAGAGCAGCTCCTCAGGCCACAAGCACTAAATGGGCCTTAATGTGTGCTACTATGGGTGTGGAAAGGGATAGGTGGCCACCCCTGGACAGAGCCATCACCAATGAAGCGGAACTCGCTGCACTCGCACTCGATCAGGGCCACAGTCTCCACTAGCCACAGCAGGTTATCTTCAGTCACTAGGCTTGGATATTTGGCCACCAGGTCCAGGGGCAGGAAGCAGTAGTGTACTTCCTCTTCTGTGTCTAACAGTGGTGTGTCCATGAGTCCCAGGGGTGCCTTATCATGCAGACCTGGAAGAGAATGAACAAGAGAGATTGCCACCTCTCTGAGGCCAGGGCTCTCACTAACCCAGGAACCCTAGAAGAAGCTGGAGGAGCTACCCAGGGACTGCCCCTTTCTCTCTTCCCAGATGTATACTTAAAGTTAAGGAGTGTTGTGGGGAACTGGGCATGAAAAATCTGTCTTTTCTACAGACAGTGAAGGGCACTGAAGGATGTAACATTTTGTTTTGTTATTTTTCTTTTTTTATGTGACATTTTGGCTAATGTATCTAGAGTCACTAAGTTCATTTATCCATGTCCTTTCTAATTGATCAAACCAACTACTAGATGCAAAAGATGGTTTTGACTCCTCTGGAAGCTCAAAACCTACAATCATGAACTGTTTTGATGTTCCAACATAGACCAGCCTATACTGTAAGAGATTTAGAAACCAGAGATCACTCAGGGGCATTCCTTGTGTGGTGGCTGGAGGTAACTTGAAAGGATGATGGAGCCCCTCACTTCTAGGAGGGAGTGAATGACAGCTTAGCCTTGGCCTAAATGAAGCTTGTATGCAGAGGAATGGCATGAGCAGGGTGCTGATTTCCAGTAGGGCAAGCAGCATGGCGAGGACAGGTGACAAGGTCAAAGGAGATGACTAAGAGGTAGTGAAGTCATGCAGAACTAGCTCAGAGTTGAAGGTACCTTCTGGGTGGAAGTTACTTCTGTTAGAGTCAGGAGGGAGGAAGATGGTGTGGGCTTCATAGTGTGGGCCTACCCCTGACTATACCTGTGAAGGCTGGACTTTTTATTGGAAATTCTGAGGGTTTGCTGATACATTTCCACGTTCGCCAGTAGTTCAGAGATGCTCTCTCAGCAACAGGAATGTCTGCAGGCCGCACGCGGAGGTGGTGCTTCCCTTCCTTCAGATTATCTAGAGTCTGTTAGATCAAGAAGATGGCCGCCTGGAAAATCTGAACCTGGTAACTACCATTTTTACACTAGACATGCAGAAAAGCAGTATGTGACTCACTTTGGGAAGGCATTTTAAAATCAATCACAAAATGTAAAACTTTAGGGCATTCTAAATTCAAAACCCCAATGATTATTTGGCATTCTAATATTCAAAATCCCAGTGATTATTTCTCTTCTGTTTTTTGTTTTGTTTTGTTTGTTTTTGTTTTTTGCCTTTTTGAGACAGCGTCTCCCTGTAGCCACAGCTGGCCTGGATTCACTATGGAGAGCAAGCTGGCCTCCAACTCACAGAGATCCACCTGTCTCTGCCTCCCAAGTGCTGGGACTAAAGGCATGTTGCCACCATGCCTGGCTTTTCTGAATTTTAAAGGATTTTTTTTTTTTGTCTCCTAAATGTTAAATAACAGGAATTTTTCTTTTTAAAAAAATCTATGGAAAGGGAAAAGAAAAAAAAAAACTATGGAATATTTTCTTTTTGTTTTTGTTTTTTGAGACTGGGTGTCATGTAGCTCACACTCACTGTATAGCCAAGGACGGCCTTGAATCCTTGATCTTCACCTCCTGAACTCTGGATTATATGTGTTCCCCACCATGCCTGGCTACAGAATAATTCCTATTTAATAGTTTGAAACAAAGCTTTCTAGTATTATTTAATAATGCAAAACTCTGTTGTGGTTTACTCATTATTTGCATAAAAAAAATAATGTCCTTGTTGCACAAGCATCAGGACCTCAGTTTGGATTCCTAGAGCCCACATAAAAGCCAGGCATGACAGCATGTGCCTATAATCTCAATACTGGGAAGGCAGACACAGGCAGATCCCAGTACCTCACTGGTCAGCCAGTCCAGATGAATCAGATATTTAGATAGTGAGAGACCCTATCTAAAAATAATAATAATAATACTAAGCCAAGCGTGATGGCACACACCTTTAATCCCAGCACTTGGGAGGCAGAGGCAGGCAGATCTCTGTGATCAAGGCCAGCCTGGTCTACATAGTGATCAAGGTCAGCTGGGACTACAGGGGGACCCTGTCTCAAACACCAAAGTAGGGGCTGGAGAGATAGCTCCACAGTTAAGAGCACTGAGTACTCTTGCAGAGGACCTGGGTTTGATTCCCAACACCCACATGGCAGCTATGAACTGTACTTAACTCCAATTTCAGGGGAATCCAATACCCTCTTCTGACTTCCGTGGCATTGCACGACATGGGTGCACTCACATACATGCAGGCAGTACACTCATACACAAAAAATAAAATATATTAAAAAAATAACAACAGCCAGGTGTGGTGCACGCCTTTAATCCCAGCACTCCAGAGGCAGAGGCAGTTGGATCTCTGAGTTCAAGGCCAGCCTGGTCTACATAGTGAGTTCCAGGACAGCTGGGGCTATAGGGAGACCCTGTCTCAAAAAGACCAAAAAAACAAAACAAAACAAAAAAAAAAACCAAAAAAAAAAAAACCAACAACAATGTGGAGAGCAATTGAGAGTGACACTGGCCTCTGGCCTCCACTGGTACCCTCACATATGTGCATGTGTAGCCACCTCTACACACACACACACACACACACACACACACACACACACACACAAAGACATGGAAGCCAACAGTTTACATATTCTAAGATTCGCCATCAGTTACAAACTTTATGGATATCCAGGAACTCTTGTACTCTTTGCACATCATTAAAATGGACCCTCTGGGGCTGGAGAGATGGCTCAGTGCTTAAGAGCACTTACTATTCTTGCAGAGCAGGTTCGGTTCCCAGCACCCACATTAGGCAGCTCACAATTGCCTTTAACTCCAGGTCCAGGGAATCCAGTGCTCTCCTCTGGCCTCAAGGGCACCTGCATGTACATGATATGATGCACATAAACTCATCTAGGCACACACATACACATAAATTTTAAAATTTTTTTTTTTTTTTTTTTTTTTTTGCCGGACATGGTGGCTCAGGCCTTTAATCTCAGCACTTGGGAGGCAGAGGCAGGCAGATCTCTGTGAGTTCAACGCCAGCCTGGTGAGAGCTAGGCTAGCTGGGGCTACAGCCCTGTCTCAAAAAAAGACCAAAAAAAATTTTTTTAAGAGACCCCAGCTTTCTGGTTCTTTTGGGTTAGATATGCACACAGCCTTTGCTTCTGTGTCAGACTGTCAGCTCTCCTGAGGGGGTAAATCAAGAACAGAAAGATTTCTGTATGAGCAAGGAGTTGTCATCAGGTAAAGAGGAATCACAATGAGGTTCCAGGATGGTGACTGAAAGCTTAGAACAGAGTCTGAATTATAAGTAGGCAAACATATTGAATCAAGATGAAGGACAACAACCTGACAGTATTTGTTCTGAGAAATAGGACACAAGAAGGAAAATGGCAACCGTGTCCAGGAAGGACAGAGCAGGGCCAGGTCATGATGTATATTCATCTATGTGCCTCTGTCCCTTGAATGTGATATTGTTTGGGTATGCAGAGATTGAAGATGAATTGAGAACAGTAACCTGGGGAGGGGGGAAGGGCTATTTTCTTTATTTTTTGAAGAAAGATCCTGACTCTGAAGCTTCAAGTGACGCTGTGGAAATCTGAAATGAGGGGATGTCATGAAGACAGCTTTTCTTTTTCTGAGGAAAAAAAATAGGCATGGGCTGCAGGACTGTTTATTTATTTGGTCTTTTTGAGACAGGGTTTCTCTGTAGCCCCAGCTAGCCTGGAACTCACTATGTAGACCAGGCTGGCCTCGAATTCAGAGATCCGCCTGCCTCTACCTCCCAAGTGCTGGGGATTAAAGGTGTGGGACACCACGTCCGGCTGCAGGACTATTTAAAATATCTCATTTACAGTATAAAGTTCAAAGGTAGATTTAAAAAAAAAAAAAAAAGCCAGAGAGCTGAGGACCCTGAAAGCTGGCTGAAGAGTTTTGAGTTGTTTCCTGGTTAAATTGAAACCCTTGAGGAATTTAAATTGGGGGCTGTTACCTGAATGTTGTTCACACCCTCTCCACCCAGATAGCCAGCAATCCCTGGATTCCATCTCCTGCCTCTCCATTTTCTCTCCTTTCCCATCCCCAGACTCTCTCTACATAGTGACCTTTGAAATACACCAAAGACTCCAAATCACTCCCCATCTTAAAAAGTCAGTGCTTATTGCCTGGGGGATCAAGTCAAAAATTTCCTTACATGGCAAGCAACATTGTGTACCTATGAACAGCATAAAGGCCTTGAACTTGAACAGACCTGGATTTGAATTTTGACTCTGTCCCTAAGACCTAACACTTTTTATCCAGTCACATTTACCCTGAACCCTTCTACTGTCCTGTGCCCACAAAGTACGCTCCTCAATGTTATCCTCCTCTTTTTTTGTGGCATTAGTACTTGAATCTAGGGTCTCATATAATAGGCAAGCCCCCACAACTGAGCTATATCCCCAGCCCCACCTACTCCTTCTTCACTTAAAACATTAAATATATTTTTTATTTTGATTTTTTTAAAAAATATTTTTGTTATTTTACGTGTATATCGCCTACATATATGTAAGTGCACCTGTACCATGTAATGCCCAAGGAGGTCAGAAGAGGGTGTCAGATCTCCTAGAACTGGAATTATAGTTGTTAGCTGCCATGTGAGTCTTGGGAACCAAACTTTGGTCCTTTGTAAGAGCAGCTGGTGCTCTTAACTGCTGAGCTATCTCTCCAGCCCCACTTTTATTATATGTGTATTCGTGTATTGCCTGCATGTATGTAAGTGCACTCATGTATGCAATGTCCACAGAGGCCAGAAGAGCATGTCTGATTTCCTGGAACTGGAGTTACAGATGGTTGTTAGCTGCCATGTAGGTGCTGGGAACTGAACCCAGGTTCTCTGCAAGAACAACTGCTGCTCTTAACCACTGAGCCATTTCTCCAGCCCTAAAAAAAGTTCATATTTATTCGCTTTTCTTGTATGCGTGTTTATGTGTGTGCCTGTGCATGTATGTCTGTAGATGTGTGCACACACATGCCATAGCATGCATGTGGAAGTCAGAGGACAACTCACCAGAATTGGTTCTCCCTTTCTACCACATGGGATTTGGAATCAAACTCAGGTTGTTAGGTTAGGCAACAAGTGCCTTTATCTGCTCAGCCATCTTGTGGACTCCCACTTTTGAAAAAACAATTTTTTTGAGACAAGGTCTTCCTATAGCCCTAGCTGTCCTGGAACTCCCTATTTAGACCAGGCTGGCCTCAATCTCACAGAGATCCATCCCCCTGCCTCTGCCTCCCAAGTGCTAGGATTAAAGGCATGCACTACCACGCCTGGCACTTTGGAAAACATTTTGGGACACAGTCTCACAAAAGCCCAGGCTTGAACTTGTGATCCTCCTGCCTCAACTTCCCAAGTAGCTATTACCAGGCCTGGTTATTATCATTCTTTTTTCCTCACAGGAATTGCAACCCAGAAAGAGGGAGCAGATTCAGTGTGCTAAGTGGAGATGCTAGACATGGAGCTTAGGACCTGAGAGTTCAACTTTTTTTTTTTTTTGGTCTTTTTGAGACAGGGTCTCCCTGTAGCCCCAGCTGTCGTTCAACTTTTTAACTACTGTTTTCTGCACACTTCTGGCAGGCTTCTGGGTTGGATTCAGGCCTGTTCTCCCACTTGTCACACAACCACTCCAAATTTCATGCAAGCACTCAAAGACAAGCACTTTATTGACAGCTATCTCTTCAGTTCCCCCACTTCACTTCCGCTGTTCCTTCTGCCCAGAAAACTCCTCTCCCCACTTTTCTGGCTGCAGAACCTTGTGCCTGCCCCAGCCAGAGCTAGCCATCCTCCTCTTTGTTGCCACAAACACCTGCACACTTCTCTCTGCAGGCTTCTGGGTTGGATCAGGCCTGTTCTTTTCTCTATCCCCAAGTGCCTGGCAGATGGGCTGGGTTCATGCATCCCATCTTCTAGTCTAGAAGCCAACAAAGAGGAAGTACTCAGAATTGTATTATG